CTATGCTTTAGGCAAGAGGAAGAAGCGTACATTCAAGGGGTCGTGGTGGGATTGTCACCCAGCTGAGCCTGGAACCAGAGAGGGTCTGAGGGAAAGACGCCAATTTAAGAGAAATTTCGACTCGGGAATCTTCATGGGCAGTGAGAGTGACGATCTTCTCTCAAGTGATGCGATCACGATAGAAGAGGAGTTTTTGAGAGATCAGCGAGAAGATAAAGACAACAGTGAACAGACGGAGCCGTTCTCGTCCTGGCCAGCGCAAAGTGAGCCAAACAACCTGAGAAGAAAGCTCGCTCCCGGAATTATGGTTGAGATTCCTAAGGAGCACGAAGAGGTTTGCAAGATTATCCGGCAGTGTCTCGACCATGGAAAAGAGAATGTGGACTTGTCGTAAGTGGCCCAGGTCGGCAGAGCGAAAGAAACAGTGGTGCTGATAAACAGTTAGATCCATGTCTCTGTCGACTTTACCCGCCGATATCGCGTCACTCCAGACACTCAGCAAACAAGATGAGCTAACTCCGGGCATGCTGCACATTGGCACTAACCTTGAACCCCAATTACGACTGTTTTTGGGCAACAACTCCTTTACAAAAGTGCCAAGTCCTATTTTCACCCTTCACAACCTGCGCGTCTTATCTCTCCGCAACAACGGTCTCACCTATATCCCAAGTGCGATAGGGGAGTTGGTCAATCTCCAGTCTCTAAACATTGCAGGAAATCAGCTGTCAGAGCTGCCCACGGAGATTCTTGACCTAGCTACTGAACACAAGTTGCGAGAGCTGAGGATAAACCCAAACCCATGGTACATGGCTGATGGAGCGACGGTCGCCGAGCCTCTTGACAGGCTAATCCTATGGCCGGGGCCATATCTATCATTTCGCAGGACCCATTATCACATCGTTGCAAAAAGCAATCATTGGCCATCGGACTTCCCCCAGATCCCGACACTCACTGAACTAGCTCTTCGCGAATTGTCCAGATACGACCCCTTGGGCGACATAGACTTTATCGCCTATATGCCACCGAACACCCCTGAAACTGTGTTGAACCAGCTTCAACAGCTCCAAAAGCAACCCCAACGTCGGTGTACTGCGTGCAAAAAGGTCATTGTGTTGGCACGGGAAGAATGGCTGGAGTATTGGAACATTGAGTGTGGTGACGCGAATGATGAGAGGAGGTCCCGGTATCCGGACTTTTCGCGGACTAGTGGATTGACACCCTTTCGAAGGCTACGGTGCTGGGATTGCTCCAAAAGCTCAAGACTGAGCGATGCGGCTTGGGATGAGAAGTCGTAATCCTTTCTCGAGGTTCTTTTCGCACCAAAGCTGTCTTTATGTGCCAAAACTTGAAGTATTCTGCGAGCTTGTAAAATGGATATGGACCTACAGGGATGAAGGCCTCTATGGACAGTTTACCTTGGGCCGGATAAGGCTAGGTGAGCAGGCACGGCCGGGGGAGCGAACAGCCTTTCACACGCATGTTTGGGCAATATTTGGCTTGGTCACGTGGCAGACACCTTGCTACAGGGGACCAAGGACCAAATCCTGGGTGGGCTATCACCTATGGACTCTATCGCGTCCGGTGGCATTCTCCAAGGTCCTTTGGATCGTGCTCTTGGGGGATGGGCTGATCCGCAGAGAGGGATGAGAAGGCGAAAAGCATAGGAAGAGAACAGGATCCAGAGCAAAGACACGAACAAAACTCGCTTGTTTAATGCCTAGTAGTACTCATTCTTTTCCTCTGTAAAGTTGGTGGTCTTTTGTCTGGATTTGGGCGAGGTTGGAGACAATGTGAGAAAGAGAGAGAAAGGAAGGAAGGAGGGACGCAGAGTGGAAAGAAGAGAGAATGAGAATGCGGCACGGCGTTTGGCATATGGCATATGGCACAGCGTGGACATCAACGAAAAAAAATCCATCGGAGACAGATAGTTCGCTGAAAAGGGGGCATTGCTGGATACTTCCTTCTTCGTTGCTCTTTCCTCTGCTCACCTGCCAAAGACTAGATGAGATGAGACGAGATGAGACGAAATGCAAATGCAAACGCAACGCAGCGCAACGCAATGAGACCAGGATCATATGAGGGCTTCTTCACTTTTTCCTTTGCTTCGCCATATCACCAGCAAGCCACTGACCAACTGCATTAGTACATACGGTGTAGACGCAAGCAAAAATCCATCCATCCATCCGTGTTCCGGGAAAGAAAGCTTCCGCGTGAGTCGTCTTTGCCATGCACGCTTGATTTTGACGCTCCGTGGTAGGTTGTCTCCTTCATGATCCGGGTCGGTAGGGTGAAGAGCAATAGCAATGTCAATGTCATCCCCATCGCATCAAATATCTCTAGGTCGACTGATTTATTTGCTTTGCTTGCTGTGAGATCTCGTCCGTCGTCGTCTCTCCTCTGTTCTCATTTCTGACCGTCGCCGTGCCCGTAAGCCTGGTTCCGAAACGGGTTTTTGTCGCCGTAGGCGTGGTCGACCATCTTGCAGTCGGCGATGATCCGCCGCTCAATCTCGGCCTTCCAGTTATCCGTGGTGCACCTTTTCCGCTCCGCCAAGTGCTTCGCCGTGTCTCCTGGGTTGGTGCTCAGGCTCTCTCGCGACTTTGGGTCGTCAAAGTAGATGTCTTCGATCCGGGAATCGAGCTCGCCGGCGGTGGCACTGGCACATTTGCTGTCCCCGAGGTCGATCCTGCCAGACTTGGGCGAGGGCGGTTTGGGGGATCGGACGAGCGCTGCCTTGACCTTCTTGATCGGAGAAATTCTCTCCTTGGAATGGGACATCTTTTTCGGCTGTTGGTATTGGTGGAGCCAAGAAACTGTTCCAGCAAGTCGCAGGACAAATTCAAACGGGTTGTCAGGCTCAGGGTGACGATTCGGAATGGCAGTGATAGTGACAGTGATAGATGGTGATTCATATCTCGTGCATCACCAGGTCGTCAAGCATGGATCTCACCGAAACTTGACCGGTGGTGAAGCCGTCCCAAGCACAAACTGAAGTGACGAGTCCCTGATTCCGTTGACCCGTGGGGCGTTTTAACGTGCTGCTGAAGACCAGCTTGAAATGTGACAGGCTTTGAAGAGCAAGTCTCGATGGCTAGTGGTCGACAGTGTGACGATCCTGCGAAATATAAGTGAGGCCTGTCCCCGCCGTCTTGCGGGATGGGATTGTCAGGCTGAGTGGCTCGAGACCGCGAGACAAGCACTATAGCTGTGGGCGAGAAGAAAAATGGGTGATGGTCTTTGGGAAGCAAGAGTCAGGGAGGTGGTCAGTCAAGTGAGGGTGGAAGGAGATGCTGCTCCAGCACACTCATGAAATCGTCAACATATGCGCATGAGCACTGGTTCCAAACACCAGCACTCTCGTCGTTCAGCAATATTGCCATTCCCTCGGTATCGATCCTGTCGACTCCAGGTATACAGGCCATGATGCGTTGTCATAGACCTAAATGTTGTGGAACATGTCACAAGCATGCTGGGTTGACAAGTTGAAGCCCAGGTGCGATTATCACATCTGCCAGAAAGACCACATTAGTGCTCGAAATGGTATTCAAGCTGTCTGCATTCGTTGACCGACGCGGTCTATGGGTATCTCGAATCGTAACATCGTAATGTTAAGGAAAGCCATGGGTCCAGGTATGACGGTACAAACTCAGCGTTCGAAAAAGCCACCGTCACTCATATCATCATCCTGGTCACTGTCCAGATCCGCTGGATCAATGATGCCATCGTCATCGAGCCAGGACGGCTTCATCTCTTGCAGTTGGTTTCCATGTGCCCTGCGCAATTCAGCCTCTTGCTTTCCACCAATTGCAGCCAGCTCCTTTTGAAGTTGCTTGTCGGTGGTCAGCTTGCCATCGCGTAGTGCTTCCAGTTTGGCCTCCCCTTCGTCCATCAGCTTCTCGACCTCGTACCACATTGGTGGTTTAGCACCGGATGCAGATCGGACGACATTGCTCAGTTGATCGGCGAGTTGAAGGATCTCATTTCGCTGATCTGCGTCATATGTCGCCATCTCTGTCTTATTGATTTTTGGTCTATCCTGCCTTTCTTTTTTGCCCTCCTGAACAAACAGGCTGATGTACTTCTCTCCCAACGGTGCGTACTTGGTGTAATTAATGTCCACCTCGGCAATGTGAATCAGTTTCTTAAGTTCGGTGTTGTAAGCTTGTTCATGGCTCTGTTCAGAGTCTCTTTGCCTCAACAACTGCTTCAGTGCTCTTTCCGCCTTCTTTCGCTCCATGAAGCGGACAAAATGGTAGCGTTGTAGGTTCTTCCGAGCATTCTGGGTGAGTAGTGCTTTTCTTTGGTCAAAGAGCAAAGCAGCTAGTTCACGCTCCTTCTCTTGTCGCACGGTACCAGGCAAGTCTTGTTGTGAGGTCAACAACCGGCGCAGAGAGTGTATCCTGGTTGAGGGATTTGTGGATCGTTCATGTTTTGTTTTCGAGACCGCAGACCGGACGGGGGGGAGATTGGGTGGATGACGTCGTGGGGAGGTCTGTCTGGGGTTGCTGCGACGTTGCGTCTCGCCGATTCGATCTTGTCGTGGGCGAAAGGCATCAAACTGAGCACGGTCTGGTCTGTAGTAAGACCCAGCCGACGGGCGTGGAGGTCGCTGTTTTCCCATGATCCAGATTCAGCATCTCAGAAGCAGCTTGTATTCGCCATTTGAGTATCAGGGTGCCGAATCATCAAGAGTTGCAGGTTATATCGAAATGGGAAAATCGTGTTTGTGGCAGAAAGTGAATTAATTTCCTCAGCAAAAAGTTCTGCCGCTCTTCACCGCCTTGAGGATCGCGTGCCTGGGCTTTAATTCGATCTAAACCCTTTTAGGCAAGTGAATCGACTACATGAATCGTACCTTTTAGAGCAACCCAAACAACCACCACCATGCACTCTGAACACCTAGAACATTCCCCACGAATCGAAACGAGACTCTTTCTGAAGCTGATACAATGGGTAGATAGGCTTTGAAGGCGGAAGCCTACGCCGTCAACAACGACGAGATGGAAGCCGCCATCCGCTTCTCCCAGAACTCATTCCCTGCAAACCCGCAGAGATTCTTGTACGTCGATGTCGTTGGGAGATCCTTCAAATTGTGCAACGTCACAAAACAGAGCAAAAGAGTCTTCGAATATGAAGCCATTCATACGACGACCAAAGTCCCAGCATTTCGGGCCTTTGACTGGCATCCCGTCAATGAGGATCTGGTTGTTGTCGGTCAAGCGGGAGGAGAGGCCACTCTTTTGAATATCGCCGAGGGTCAGCAGGACTCCTTGTCTTTTCAAGTGAGGAGTCAGCGCTTGTGCAATGCCGTGGCCCTCAACAGTCAAAATCTTCTGGCCGCAGGGCTGGACAAAGTGAGGACTGATTTTTGTCTCAATATATGGGATTTCAACCAGGGGCTACCTACAGCAGGATCAACGGGCTTTTCCAAGAATCATTCAGAACCCCTTCATAAGCTGGCAAGCGGGGAGCCCATCACCAGTTTGAAGTTCTTCCAGGACGACCCTTCACTCTTGGTATCTGGGGTTAAAGGTCAATTTGTCAGATTGTATGATTTGCGAGAGCCGTCCATCGGAAATGGGTTGCAATTTGCCACCCGGTGTGTCCATAACCTGGCTATCGACTGGCTTGATCAGAACTACTTTGCTTCTTGCTATCCAACAAACGACCCATCGATCTGTGTTTGGGACCGGAGAATGATCACCCGCCTCAACACGCCACAATTGGGCTTCACCGGAGGGTCTCATAGTGAAAATCGCCAACCCGAGCTGTCACTAGAGCTAAAGAGCGTCGTCGAAAGTCCAGGGACAGTTTGGAGCGTGAGATTTTCCAAAGCTGAGCGAGGGTGCTTGGGCGTTCTCTCCAGTACTGGACATCTGAAAGTCTACAAATTGGGCAAAGATTTCTCTTCACAGACCTACAGGGTCGAAAATGACGGACGCCAGGATCTCTCATGGGAGACCAGCACACCTCAGGAGATCTTTCTCGAGCGAGCTCAAGACCTCGAGAGGCCATATGCAAGTGCCGCTGCTCCCAAGAACGAGAAATCCAGGATTGTGTCCTTTGACTTCACGACAGCCACAACCAATACGAGGCAATCCAAGATCTTGACACTTGACGGACGTGGCGAGGTCAAGCTCATATCCCCCAGCCCTCCTCCAGGCCCGTCGCCCCTCTGCTCCGCTGGGTATCTATGCAAAGGCAGTCATTTCATCGAACAGTTAACCACTCCCACTCCTGAACCAGGAACTGCAATCGACCAAGTCCGTCGTCGGGCTCAGCCCCGGAACATTCTCAGACAGACCTTTAAGCAATCACGACAGAACAGGACCATTGCAGAAACTAAACGAATGTCGAGTCTTGATGATCAGGCATGGCACGCCGACTTAGGTTTCTACGAAAGGGATGTGCCATTACCAGACCTTGTGACATTGACCTCAATTCAACGGTTGCGGTGCGAAGCAGGTTATCTTCTCAACCCCTCCAAAAATAAGGCCATTGTCTCAGACTCCCACTGGCTACAATCATTCTGGGCTTGGGTGGAACGAGCTGCGAAAATATCGAGAAATGGCAACATGGCACACGAAAATTTCGATCTTTCTTACATCGGCGTTTATGGTCTCTGGATGGAAGACATCGATCCCAAACATCGAATGCTCGGTCAAAGCCCTAACAAACTCGGCAAAACTATTGAGAATCTGGTGCACCGTTTGAATATACCTGGCATCAGCAAAACGACAACCGAATATACCGCCAACAGGCAGCTCTGCCTCTATTCAGCCGGCCTAGCCTGGTCCTCTGACGAGCTCAAGTCGATCGTCAAACGGCTGGTGACGAAAAATCAGCATACAAAGGCGGCAGCCTTGGCTCTGTTTGCGATGGACCGCAAGTTGGCGTACAAGGCACTCCGCGATAAGACTGCCAATCAGTCCCACAAAATGCTGGCCATGGCAATCGCCGGGTCATTCAAGAAAGCCCGAAATGAAGACACTGGAGCAAGTAGTCCGGGAGAGTCGGACGCCCAGGATGATTGGGCTGACACGATTTCATCCCTTGCCGACGAGTTGACGGATCCCTATGCGCGAGCGATCCTAGCATATGTCAAAACCGGGGATTGGTCAAATGTAGTTGCCGAAGAATCCCTTCCTCTCAAATACCGCGTTTGCATTGCTTTGCGACACTATGACGATTCGAGACTGACAAAGTACATCTCTGATACGACCAAGGAAGCATTGGCTGCAGGAGACATTGAAGGTGTTGTGCTGACAGGCACGGCAACGCAGGCCGCTTTCGACCTCATGAGCGGCTACGTTCAGCGCTTTGGTGATTTACAAACGGCGGTATTGGCACTTTGCTCGACCATTCCACGATACTTGGATGACGAGACAGTGCTTCGTAAGTTCAATGGCTGGAAAGATGCTTACAGGCACATGATGAACAGTTGGAATCTGAAGTTTGACCGAGTGCGGTTCGATATAGCCTGCCACAATGCCGCTAGAGATGAGCGGGGAAGACCGCTGATACCCCCGGCAAAACAGCAAGTACGTCTCGTCTGCGGCTTTTGCGCACAGAGCATTGCACATTTGGCGGGTGCTGCTGGCGAAAGTGTGTCCGGCCACAAGGTTATGGATACAGCTCGGCACCCGCTGACCAAGGAAAAGGCGGCAGCTGTTGGTATAGTGTGTCCCAAGTGCGAACGACATTTGCCACGTTGTGGTGTTTGCGACCTCTGGCTTGGAGAGCCTGATGGATCCTATCTGCCGTGGTCCGGATCGCAATTAGCATCGAAGCATGACGCCGGCAAGGCCAGTCTTGATCTCAGTTCCAGCATTGCGGGGAGTGTGCAGACAACATTGGGACCGGACACCACCCTGGGACCAAACATCAAGGGCAGCTCGCCTCGACAGAAACACTCGGTCCCAGTGAACTCCAAGGTTTCAACGAGTGAGTCGTCGACAAAGACGGCCGTCCCTACTTCCCCGGCACCCAGCAAGACAGTGGATTCAGTTCCCGACATTATGGTGGCAGCGCCAGAAGGTTCAGGCCACGGGCAAGGGCCTGGTGGCGAGATGAAGAAGGTAGAGGCCGCGCGGAAGTGGGATAGCGCCATGTCTCGATTCACGGTGATGTGTCTGAAGTGTTCTCATGGGTGTCACGCTGCACATGCACGAATGTGGTTCGAAAGGCATCGTGTGTGTCCGGTTCCGGACTGTCCGTGTCTCTGCAATGAGTGAGGTATACACTGCTGACACTCACCCAACAACCGTGGTTATGAGAGAGGTCATGGAGGAAGCCAAGACTCTTATACCAACACAACCATCTAAGCCTCATCCTGCTCCCAGAAGGCTATATGCTGCTGGGCAAGATGCTCTACTTGCAGGACCAGATGAGTGGGGACCAGGTCGGGACTGGCGTCTCTTTTCGCTCCACCAGCATCAGAAAACAGCCGTTGAGTCGCTCATCTCGTTGACAGCGTCAGGCCTGCCATCTTATGTCACGTGTATCGCCTTGGCTCTGCTTCAGCCCAATTCGGAAGGGCGCAACAAGCTCCAGCATATAAAAAACTTTCTCCACCACCAAAGACCACGACTACTCATCCAGCACTTCGATCTTGACCTACACTCTTGACAGCATCTCAGAACGCGTCTATAATGATGGCCGCCCGCACCAGAATCTCAATGAATGCCGCATCGGCCAGGAATGGAGTGGGATACTTCTTCGCCATCGTCTTTGTGGCCCTTTCTCTCCTTGCCGTGTACATGCTCCGTATAGCAACCATCATGTCGGGTGTGGCCGACAAAATGGAATATATCACCACAAACAGCCAGTTCACGGAACACTCGTTGGAACTACGCACCACGTACACCGGGATCGCACCTCTGGACAAAGGTCTCTCGTTCCTGGTGGCGGCTTTTATGAATGGCGCGGCCGGATGGGACAGGGGGTTCCTCATGTTCATGATGTATTTCCTGTTCTCTTTCTTCCCTATTGTAGCCATCTGGGCGATCGAGAGTTGCAGGGAGAGGAACGGGCTTGCTCTGACGAGATTGTGAGTTTTCCTTTCTTCTGCCTTTTCTCCCAACCATTCATCTTTCTGGTGTTGGGTTGACGTTGAACCCACAATAACTAACAGAGATGAAAACCACAGTACCAGTATTTATGCGCTATTCTACCAAACGGTTGGGGGCGCCATCATCATCCCGATCTACTACCTGGCATACCTTTACGACACATCCTCAAATCAATACTGGGCCAAGTTACAACGTGTCCCATTGCCATATGCTAAAGCACTGCCTCCTGCGGTAATCATTGGATATCTGATCCCCACGGTCCTGATGTTCCTGCCTTACTCGACGGCGCACAACCTGTGGACGACCCAGACCATGGTGGCTTTCTGGCAGCCATGTCCCTGGTACGTCAACACCCTGCTCTGGCTGTTGCCGACATTTTATTCAGGCCGCCGCGCCGGCTCTCAGCCTTCAAACGCTCAAGCCCACCAAGCCACTCAGCCAAAACCAGACCACGCTTCCGGACACGACGACGTCAAATATCTCAATCGGGTCTACCTGGTCTCCTTCGCCGTCGCTGCATTGTCGCACGTCGCCGTCGCCGTCACGTGCCTCGTATCCTCGGACCCAGAGCATTCCTTCCAACACATGTTTTTGCCTCCATCATCATCGACATCGTCCTCGTCGACGACGGCGGAGTCAGACCCAAAACAACTCTCATTGGTCCAGGGCATGCATGCCATCTTCCAAGCAGACTACTGGATCATCTTTGCGGCTTCCCTGGTCTGGGCGTACCTGGCAATCTGGGACCTGAAACGCCTGGGGCTGACGAGGGACGTCAATCTCGCCACGGCGTTCCTGGCGATGCTGCTGGGTTGTGTGCTCGTGGGGCCTGCCGCGACGGTCACTATGGTCTGGTGGTGGAGGGAGGGCATCTTGGTCGCAGCGGAGCGTACGTAGTACTCCTAGTTAGGTAGGTAGGTTTAAACATACTTGTAGCCAAATGAGGGAGGCTGCGGAGCGGAGCTTCCCATGAGAAAAAAAAGGGCCGAAATGGCTAGTTGTCTCACATTGACAACATGATAATCTTGTTGGAAGGCGGTATGCTATAGAATGAGAATCATCGTCTGTCTGTCTGCTTATCTGCATCGAAATCGAAATGCTTGAGCGGCTTTAAGCCTTCTCGTCCCCAACCAATAAAATAGATGTTGTCATTCTTCTCGTTTCTTCCGTTGCCTTTTACCTGCAGCTATCCCCGGCCTATTACCAATGCTTTACTCCTGCTTCCCATGTGTAGGTTGGTATGTAGAAGACTGAAGGAAGTATGTGGCTCAGCTGGCAATGTCACACGTGACAAGACGTCCGTGAAGGGGGTCATGGCTTGGGGCATCGTATTGCGTATTCGCATTCGGCGCAGTTTCAGACGGCTCCGCCTGAAATGTATGATGCAACGACTTATACCAAGACTCAAAACGAGCGTAGTTTGTGGACACGTTTCTAAAAAGGGAGGCTTGAAAAAAAGCCCTCCTCGAAGGACGTGGATATTGCTTGTACCCTCATTGTCGGCCTCGAGAATTTCTACAGATCATCTGTCGTTTCCGTCGACATGTCAAACGCAACGACTCTGGTGTCGGGCTTTCCATTCTCCTTCCTCGCGCCTCAGGCAAATGTTTCCTACTACACGGTGCCCCTTGCCTGGCTACTGAGCTTCTCTCCGCACGTCTACGCCGTCGTACGCTACAACACTCACGACCAGCCTTCTGGGTCCGAGGCCCCAAAGTTCAATACCGCGTCGCCCCGAACCTTCCTCACTACGCTCCAGTCGCACCCGCACTTGTCCCAAGAGACCAAGGACCGCATCTTCCGCGCCGAGGCGGCATCTCTTAATGGCTTCGAGAATCTGGGCTGGTTTGCAGCTGGCGTCGTGGCGGCGAATGGCGCAGGCGTTGACGTTGGCTGGGTCAACGCGCTGAGCATGTGGTATCTCTCCAGCCGCGCGGTGTACAACCTCGCTTATATCCGTGGTGTCGATGGGAGGCTCAGAGGGATCTGGTTTTATGGAAGCGTTGCGTGAGTCTTTTTTTCTTGTTTCCTGGCGTCCCCCTTCCTCCGATCTATCATGTATGTGGGAGAGGGTCAGTTTGATTTGTGTTGTGCTGGAGATGATGACTTTTTTCCAGGGCAACCATCACCTTGTTCATCAAAGCTGGTAATGCCGTCAGGAGGGTGGCTATGTGAAAGATGTTGGAACAGCAGCGGGTGAGACTGGATGATTGGAAAACGTTCTGGTCTTTGGAGGGTGTTGAACCATAGGTTGAACGCTGGCATGGTCAAATATCGAGCATCTCAACTCAATGTTCAACCATCATACCATTCATGCTATTTCCATCCCAACAGTGGGATTCACAGCGACACCCTTGAACAGGATTGGGAGAAAGCCACGAGCAGAAAGTTCGATCGTCAAGCTTGTTCCCGCTACGCGACTCGTCAATTCTATTCTGGCAGGTCCGATCTCAATCCTTCAGAGAATTTGCGCCAGGAGTGAAAGCTCGCAGGTCAGCTTGCGCTGCAGCTTGCCCGATCAGTCGTCCGCAAGTCCGATCAAGAGGCATATAAGAGAGTTGGACGAGAGGTGATGGAGCGGGACGGAAAACGGACAAGGAAAGGGAATTCGCCGTCCTGCGCTAGACTTATGACACCTAGAGCTTAGTCGTATAATATGGCGGGCAGAGGTGTGGGGGGGACTGGCTTGGCTTGGCCCTCACAGTGGAACCCTGGGTGTCCAGGTGCCTAGCCACCCATCCCGCATTGTCACTAAGATCTTGTTTAGGCGACTCGGTTGAACCCCCAATTAGTCCCCACTAGTCGCTTCCAAGCGGCCCTGGAGGATTTTCCGCCGCATGTGGGACACATTCTCAATGAATATAGCATCACTGAGATCCGTTCTCCACGTTTTAACATCTTCAACCCTCTGAGGGAGAATTCCGCAGAGGGATTTACCGCGTTCGCCGTCGACGACAACTGCACTCAGCTACCGGCATGCTCTTGACTACGCGTCATGTCCGACCAAGGCGGGATTCCTGGATTGGATTCCCCAATTCCTGGCTGGACACATCACCCCATGTCATGACCACTAATGATTCCTCCCTGGTCTTTGACAACTGCTTGATAAAGCGATTTGACCGACCTTAAAACCCATGGCGTCCCTTGCCTCTTTGTTCGAGTTTGACACTCACCTTGGCTTTGTCCTCCGCAAGGAACCATTTGAGCTGTGTTCAGCACTGGCCGTCTCGCCACGCACACAAAGAGGTCGATGACAATGAATCCTGACCATGCTCACTCACAGTCCCCGGCGAGGTTCCCAGCCTCTAGAACTGCCTCCCTTTCCTGTCAGTTGTAAGTTCAAGTCTCCATCAGCTCCATTGTCTCTTTCCATGTCTACAGACGATGACTTTTGGCTCGTGGCAGCGCCTTGTCCCAATTTCGATGATGTGCCGACCATCCGAGTTGCTACTCATGAAGTCCCCCTCCCAGCATACTGGAGTATTCTAGGTCTTTTAGAGGATGGCAAGCGAGAGGAAGAGGTTGTCCAAGTCCTTGTACGCCACACAGGCACCAAAGCGCGGGGGATTATTACAGAGGTCGTGGATAGTGTCGTGGAGAACCAGCGCCTAATAACCGGGCCACCCAGGCCATCAGGGAGACTGAGCGTTGTGTTCAAGAAGCCCCGGAGAATAAGTGACTACCGAGCCACTCGGATGGAAGCGCGGCGGGAACTTCAAGCGGCTGAGGAGAAACTAGAGACGGCAAAGCTGAAAGAAAAGAAAGTTCTCAATGAAGTGCTCATTCTTTCACAACGCATGGAAGACTTGAAGGATAAGAAAATGGCTCCAGATGAACGGCGAAAGACCACAAGTGCGATCGAACAGCAAATCGAATACGTGCTCCAGAAACACCACGACGTTGAGGCCGAGATTGCCTTTGCTAAACGACTCACTCTCATTCACAAGGCGTCTCTGGCTTGATGCTTCCGGTGCCACGATGCTGGGTCTGTGTTACACCCCTACGCCTGAGCCTCGTCATTCCAGCCTTGCCACATGTCCCAGTGTCGCAGGACACAGTGATGATGTGACGCCTACTAGCTACCAGTGCTTGAGACAGTATCCCGAGGAGATGCCCGTCAAAGTCTCAATTCGCGTTGCCACAATGACACATGAAGCCTCCTAGCGAACTATTTCCACGAGAGGCGAGAGAAGACGGAGGCGTGATGCTGCGTGCCAGCCACATCCCAATCACTCTATTGTCGCAGTGTCCCGACATGAAAGCAAACTGAGCCACTACTCGGCAGACCGTAATGGCACAGACAGATACCCTCCAAACTCCTTCGCGAAGTCCACAGACACGCGGGCGTGTACACGGCCTTGCCGATCGATGAATCGGGCATTGTCCTCGAGCGGCACAACAGCGCCGTGCCAAATGTTTGGGTGGATGTATAGTCCCGTGCCTCCGTCACAGCGAAACGCGACAAACTTGTCCGGCGTTACATCGTCGCCTGGCAGAGCAAGGGGGACCACGAAACTCTGGCCATCGATGGGGAAAAATAACTGGCCGCCGTCTGGGTGGTAGTTCGCTCGCCAGATCATCGCCCGTTCACGAGGTCGCGCTGGACCGGTGGTCGCAGCCTCTTCAGGATACTGGCTCCAGGCAAAAAGATAGCTATCCCCAACAGCATTATTGCGCGCATAGAGCGTGTCACCTTTCCACCAGAACTCAAAAAGTCCTTCAGTTAGACCTCCCTGGTCTCCTGAATTCGCATCCACCGGCCGCCATCCTTGAGCCGGCCAACGCACGATCTCAATGCGATGCTTTTCGGGCACCTCGACAATTTCCCCATATCCTTTGACGGTCTCGGACGTTGCCAGGACAAGGGGCGTTTCGAATAGTTTGCGGACTCCAGTGGTTGGGACGTAAGCTATTTCTTCAGGGTCAAAGACCTGACCATGAACGTCGGTTTCAACTTTGGTTTGTGCGTCACTGATAGTTCCGTTTGCCGTGACGGCCATACTGCCCACTTCTCCTCTGGGTCCTGTGTGCTGTTACACTTGGAAGACTTTTGACCTTGAGTGAATACTGTTGGAGGAAATGACTTTTGTACAGAATTGTAAGAAGCAGCTATTTACAAGGTGTCTCTTCTGTCGAACAATCTATATCGAAACTGGTTCAGTCTGAGCTTTGCTCTGATGCCGATTCATCGGCACGAACCGCGACATTTTGACCATTGGACTCCACGACCAGCCGCCAATGGCAGTTTTTCCCTTCAATTTCGTCAATAACGCGGACCGTTGTTCATGCCGAAGACCAACGCGCTAGGTTTTCCATTGTGCCAGCTGGCCTTGTCCACTGGGGCACTGCCAGGCTGTCAAATCTATACTAAGCTCCTTTCCACGATGTCGATCTGTTCAAAGCGAGCTCGCCCTTGCCGTGCCGTTACCCAAATAGCACTTCAACTGCTAGCGCTCGAGCAGAACAATCGACGGACGTACATGGTGATTGTCAGTGGCCACGAGGGACAATGAAGAACCTGTCTTTGACCCTTTATGACTCTCAATGGCAGCTTCTATCTCCTTTGTATTGCTCGGAACAAAATAGAAACAAAGTCGAGAGCCCGGCTTCAAGTTGTGGTATACCTGGCAACGTATCCTCTTACCTAGGACAAGTCAGCCAACTTTTACCCAGTAAGTACCACACACACACAACGCAAAGAACAAATATCAGAATCCTTTCTTTTTCAAACTACAATGACAGCATTATGTCCAGCAATCCACCGTATCGACGAGGCCACGAAAAGGTATTTCGACGACGAGAAAAGAATTCAAGACGAAGTATGACACGATACCAGATGGCCGCGCGTTCGTCTCGGAACCAATGAAATACTCAGCGTCAGCATGGCCAAGAGGATCGTCTTTTTATTAATAAATGGACACTCGTACGACTGCATTTCGTGCCACATGACGGAAGAGTTTGGCCGGGAAATTGACAGAGAGAGCGTTGAAGCTCTTTTCGACAAAAATTTCGATGTTACCGACGAGCCCCTCCCTAGTGGCGAGACTTACATTCCGGCGACATCACAAGATCCCCGTCATGGGTATGTCTCTGGACACATGATCCCGTCTGGGATCTACTCTGAAATTGTCGGTAATCATGCTTGGGGCTCAGCGATTCTCGCAAACTACGCCAGAAGGCGCTGGGGTCTCGAACTAGACGAGGAGGTCATTGAGGTAGCACATGACTACTGGGTGGCTGAACAAGAGATCAGAGTATTGAACAACAGTCAACAAAGCAATCAACCAGCGAGTGAATCCCGCTCATCTGTTGCAACTACTGTACACGCCGGTTCCCCCACATTCCAGGGCAAAGCTGAGCACGACGTCAGCGTCAAATGCTTCAGCAGGTCTAACGTATTGGACTATTTGTTTACAGACTTGTCCAAGGTTGATGTCTATCCCGAAGGGCCGTCCGAACCAGTCAGGTTTCGGCCATGCCTCCAGATCATGAGACGATCCATGCATTTCCGGCTCCTGGACCAAGACGCTCGTCCACTCATTCGCCGGTTTTCCTTCGAGGACTTCACCTATGGAGAATTCCTTGACCCTTTCCCCCAAATATACCCAGTAGCTAAGCTGATCGGGGCATTCTACCAAGAGATGCATATAAGTGGGTGCGTGACATCACGAAATGCCCTATGGGACTTTCCACAACAAGACAGTGTCCCTGGATGGTGCTTCGTGCTCAATCACATGAGATTGAATAGAGGTGCGCTAGAACCATTCTCAACCCTGGCAGATGAATTTTTCGTAGTAGCATTCCACGAACTACTGCTGAGCAGCTGCGCTACTGTCGTGAAGGTTTTAGACGGGCGCAGGCATCGTCTCCTCGCATCAGTGCAGAGTTTCGAGGACCTAGAGAACTTGTTTACTGAGATCCGCACTGAAAGACTCGCCAGTCTGCCAATCAGGCTGGAAGATTTCGAATGGCACAGCAAGCGGCTTCGGATTTATGCCCCTAGCGACGACGGCGACTTTCACCCCCCCCCCCCCCCCGACTCGGTGGACATCGGATGCACACGATATACTTCCACACCCTTTCACCCCGAATAACAAATACCAACAAACTCTTGGAAAAAGTAAAGCTTTGGTCTACGGCCTTCTCGATTCGGCTGACACGGACTTCACTGCCAGTAAGTAGTTTTGGAGGGGCATGTCGTTGAGATGAACGTACTCATTCAAGAAGACTCACCAGAGAAAGCAGATATGCAGACTATACTTGGACGAATCCGCGGCTTGAGCAGTGCCCAGGAAGGTCTCGAGATTTCGGCGCAATGGTGGGCCGCCGTCGTGACAAACCTTGCTCTGGCAAAATTGGATCAGCCTGCGCGGTCTACTCTGTGGTTAGCCATGTCCAATGAATGAGGAACCAAGCGGGCCGGGGCAGGGGCAGTTTGATAAGGTAGGCATTGGGTATGTTCCGTCTTGCGAAGGATTTGGGTCTAGGCAACATATAGATACAATTAGACCAAGTCGTGTCTTTGGCTGTGTTCATCAATCAAGCATTCATTATAAGCTAACTATGTCCAAAAGTTATGGTCACAATTCACGACCTGGATCAAACTCTCTCTAGCTACACCATCTTGAAGATTGGATCAAGATTGAAATCTCCAAGATCCCCATAGATGCATCATTTACCCGAGCATCCCCGAGGTAGTAAAGGAATCCACAAGGCTGTCTGACAAGCTGTGCCGTTGGCCACGCAGGCTGATGTCGGACAATTACCTCCGGCTGACGAATGGGGGGATTGACCTATTGAAGCTCCTAGATCTGTCTACATTTACTGGTACTATTAACTGGATAGCAAAACCTGGAGAAAGGGAGAAGGTGTGGGGGACGCCCTCGGCCAGACACCTGGAGATTCTCTTTCTTTTCCTCTCTCTCTGTCTCTCTCTCTATCGCTCTCTACCGCTCTCCACAACTTCTGCGGGGATTTCTTTTCGGTCGCATTTTGTCGTTGAGCCTGGTTAAAAGTATACTTGTGCTTGGGTGTATCGCAGTCTCCATCCCTTTGTGCTCAATCTACCTCTTCGGTTGTGTGGCCGATGGCAGCCATCAAGATGGATGTGACCAGCTATTCAGCGTCGCCTGTGACATTGGATATGGCCTCACAGCAAGACTCCCGCCCAGGGAGCCCGAGGAGAAATGGCGGCTCTTCCGTGTCGGGTCGAGTGGCGAAGAAACACAAGTCTGTTACTCCTCTGGCGTGCAACCACTGCAGGCTGAAGAAAGTCAAGGTGTGTGTTTTATTGCCCATGTGGTGCAGGATTTCCCAGTTCCTCGGTGTTGAATCTGACCGATATCAAACCAAGTGCGTGATGGACCTCGGGGGCTGCAAAAAGTGCAACAGGCTCAATATCCCCTGTGTCTGGCCCAGCGAAGACAAACGGAAATGGTGAGTATCTATCAGCGCCCATCGGCTCTTTGATGTTGTGTACCAAGTCACCCCCCTTTCTCAGTCCGACGTCCAAGAATCACATCCGGGAACTATATCAGCGGATCGCTGAGCTCGAATCAGCTCTCGAAGCAGCCAGATCGACGCAAAACTCCATCCCCCCGAATCGACCTCAAGTGTCGAGTCCACGCTCTCCTCTGGCGTATTCAGCTCCGTCGGCGCCAATCCCACCCCAGGAGGAAGATAACCTGATTTCACGCCTCTGTGGACGCCAGTGGAAACTCAACAGCGACGAGGAAGGTCAATATAAATTCTTTGGCCCGACCTCCAGTTTGCATCTGACCGAAAGCGTGTCATCGTCGTTACTCGGGCCATGGTGTCAGAGGAGTGTGACGGCCGATGTCAGTCCCGATGATCCAATCGACCCAGAGACCCAGGCGCATCTGTTGGAGAATTACTGGAAGTACCAGCACACGGTGCTCCAGGTGTTTGATCGCGAAGTCTTCCTCGATGGGATGAAGTCGAGACAGACCAAGTATGTCAGTAAGGCACTGCTGTACTGTGTCTACGCCTGTGCCGCGCGGATATCGGATCGCCCGTCGGTGCGAGCGATGGTGATCCCCTCGTCCGACGACATGGACGACAAGGAACCGTTCCTCGTGGCGATGGCGGCCAGGCTCGTGGACCAAGAGCTCAAACGACCGCAGATCACAACCATTCAAGCCCTACTCCTCCTCTCTGTCGTTCATTGTTCTTTGAGCAAGGACACCAAAGGCTGGTTGTTGACGGGTGAGTTAAGTCTGCGAGATGGCGCCTGTACCAACTATTAACCACTACCGCAACAGGAGATGCGTGTCGACTTGCGATCGATCTGGGCCTTCACAGAACTGGAGACCAGCTTGCATCCACCAACCTGTCACCGAGGGACATGAAGGTACGGCAGATCACCTATTGGGGTTGTCTGGTCTTTGATAGGTGAGCCACCGTCTCTACACTAGTCTGTTACGATTCCATCTGTCAATCGACCTGACACTCTCTTATCAAAGACTTTGGGCACTCTACCTCGGCCGCCCATCGTGTCTGAAATGCGAAGATGCTGAACTCCGATACAATTCTCTGATTCTTCATGATGCTTCGTGGGAGAAGCGGATTGCCTTTGCCTGGGTGACTCTTCTCCTGACGGTTGGGAGAATATGCGATGCCCTGTAAGCCGAGTCCATCTCAACCCAGCAATGACACATCCACGTACTGACGGGACCGTTTAGGAACGAAGAACAGTGCGACAAGGAGACGCTGCACGCCCTCGATGAGCAGCTTCAAGACTGGTACCAAAATCTCGACCCGGAGTTGCAGTACTGCGAAGAAGCGCATGCGTCGGTCCTGCTGCTCCAGTAAGGCACACTGAGACAAATTCCTTTTTCTCCCCAACATGGGGCAGACTGCTGACGACTGACACTTGGTGACAGCATGCAATACTACTCGTGCAAGATCCACCTGCATCGCCCGACGGCCAACTTTGGTGTGCGGGTGTCAGAAATAGACGACGTCGACGCCCAGCGCTACCGGTCCCGCCAGATCTGCATCGACAATGCGAAAAACATCGCCACAGCGCTGCAGGACTATCGCAACGTGTACGCGGACGCGTCGACGCTGAGCGGCGTCGCGTTACACGTCATCGCCACGGCCTCGACCATCTTGATCGCCGACATCGCCGAGAAACGCTCAGCCGCCGATGCGGCCTTTCAATTCTCGGCCCTCAAAACGTGCGTGCGCACCCTGGGCGAGCTGGAGAAGACGTACATTGTGGCACGGCGGGTGCGCCGCATCATCCAGCTCGTCATGCGACTGTGCCATTTTGAGAGCGAGTACGTCGACTTCCAACAACAGGCAAACGCCAATGCCAACGTCAACGAGATCGCCGCCAGGAATCCTGTCAGTGGCTTGTTCAACGTGTTGCACGAGGCCGGGGCGTCTTTCCAGACTCCCCTGTCGTCGACAAACGACGACGACAACAACACGGGCCTGCCGTTGCCGACGCTATCGGCGTATAGTCCCTTGTACATTGACGAGTTGCTCCCGATATCCTCGCAGTTTGATATCATGTACAGTCTAGAATCGCTGTAGGATTTGCCAAACAGAAGACAACAGAGTTGTTTTTTCACCCTTTGGGTGGGCTGGCCAAAGTGTTTGATCTCGAGAGCACTAGGTAATGTATGTAACATATGTATATATATATATATATCCCTTAGTTATCCTTGTTCGTTATTCCCACGAAGCTATTATGTATCGAGCATGACCCATGGCCCATGTACGCGCGGCATGTATGTATTATGTATGTCGCTTTCACTCCGCAACTCGGTACATTCGTATTGCCATTGTACTAAATAATATGTAGGTATCTAGGTACCTAGGTACCCAAGGTATCCATTAGTGGGAGGGCAGAGGTGCCACGGTGATCATTCCCCGAGTTCTTATTTGTACCGTCCTGTTCCCTCTTGCATATTATATGGCTGGGCCCAGCGCCTGGCTGGAATGATTTTAGACCTCGGGCGAGAGAGACTTGTGCTAGAATATACATACCTACTTACCTACCTAGATACCTACCCACAAGTAATTTGTTTACCAGCCCCTCGGCGAAGCGACACCGCGAGAGGAGAAACCATACACACACACACCCACCCCCTTTTTCTGAACTTGCCTCGCCCTTTCTCCCCGCAACGATCTTCTCGAGTTTACACCAGTCCACACAATGCCTCCCACGGAAATCCCCGAATCCTCGATCCCCCTCCTGTCCAAGTTCCTGCTCAAGGGCAAAAACATCGTCGTCACGGGCGGCTCGCGCGGGCTGGGCTTCAACTTTGCCCACGCGCTGGCGCAGGTGGGCGCCAACATCGCCGTCGTCGACATCAACGACGGGCCCTGGGTGTCGGAGAACCTGGCCAAGTTGACCCCCTTGGGCGGCAGGTATCAGTACTACCAGGCCGACGTGGTCGATTACCAGGGTCTGAAGGAGACGGTGGATCGGATCCAGCGCGATTTTGGGAGCGTGGATGGATGGTTGGTCTCGCTCCCCCTGCTTTTCTCTGAGTTTTTGAGTTTTCCATGTTTGGTTTTCTGGTCTGGTCAGGTCAGGTCACGAAAGAGATGAGCCATTCCCCCGCTGTGAGTGTGGGGTGGGGAGGAGGTGGAAGGGGAGAAAGGTGGAAAAAGGCTGATTGAGACTGATTGATTGATTGATTGATTCTGGTTATAGCATCGCCGCTGCGGGCATCATTCGTGACAAACCGTTCTTGGAGCACACGGAGAAGGATTTCAAAGATACCATGGACGTCAATGTACAGTTATATTCCTTTCCTCCCCCCCCCCTCCCCCTCCTCTCACAAAACCCAGAATTCCTCCTCCTCCCCATCCCGACGCAACGGGAAGAGATGACACTTTCCTAAATACCCTGACCTGACAACCTGGTGTGTTTGTGTGTGTGTGTTCCACGCAGGTAAACGGCGTCTTCTTCACGGTCCAGCACTGCGCGGCCAAGATGGTCGAGCAAAAGACCGGAGGGAGCATCATCTGCATCGCCTCGACGGCGGGCCACCGGTCCCTGGCGCCGCAGGAGATTGCGGCCTACACGGCGTCCAAGTACGCGGTGCGCGGGATCGCCAAACAGGTCGCGCACGAGCTGGCAAAGTATAACATACGTGTCAACTCGATCAGTCCGGGGTGAGTTTCGCCTCCCCCAGTCAGTCCCACAGCAGGGTGTCCCTCAAATATGAGAGTACCGCGCGTGTGTGGGTGTGGGCTTGTGTCTGAGTTCGAAAAAAAAAAGGACAACAACTAACTGACTCTCGATTTCTGGGGGAAAAAATATACAGGACCATCCTCACCGACATGCTCGAGTCGGTCATGCGCCAGAACCCGACCCGGCGCCAGCTCTTCCTCGAGAGTAACGCCATGCACCGCCTCGCTACGGCCGACGAGCTGTCCGGCATCGTGCTGTACCTGATGAGCGAGGCGAGCAGTTTCGCCACGGGCCAGGACTTTTTGGTCGACGGCGGCATGGTCTAGATTTCTCGGTCAAGATCCAGATCTGATATGGGCTCGTTAGGTAGCTCCAACCAAGTAGGAACAAACAAGACTCTGTGTGTGTGTGTGTGTATGTCAAAATGGACAAATACTCCGGGTGTCGTGTGTCATGTTATTTGTAAAGGAACCCCGGTTACATCTCCTAGCCAGCTACCTCATTTCCTTGTGTATTACTACTACCAGTAGTTCCTTTGGTGTATGTGCATTCTATCCCTTCGGGTCACACTCCCTGACACCATCCATTGCCCTCGTATATACCCACTAATGATACTTGTTCCTGCTCGCGTATTCTGTGTTTTCGAGATACACCTCAATCTAGACAGACAAACACTTGTCAGCCTTTGTTCGCACTCCTATCCGCTTGGGGAGGGTTTACCTTGTTGTTCATCTTCTTGTCGACGTCCTTGCAGCACATGCACGCGATGATGCCGACAATGCCAAAAGCCAACGACGCAAACGCCACCATTCTATAAATTTCCCCCCCCAACAAAGTCAGTATCATTCGTCACGTTTTCTCCCAGGTCTTCGACAGCGGTGATATGACTTACCGGATACCGTGCACATGAGCCTGGTCTACGGCTGGTCCTACCGCCGCGACGACGGCTTGGCTGAACTCCTTCGCCAGGGCCGGGGTGCCAATGGCGCTGAGCAGGTCGGGGATCTTCGACTGGGGCAGGCCGGCGGCAACGGCGGCGGCGGGAACGAGCTTGGCCATTGACTTGTTCGTTTCGTTGGTGAGGATTGTCGTGTACACGGCCGCGCCAACTGCAAGGTAAAGAAACGGGTAAGCTTGTTGGTCACAAGAGACAATGGGACGCGTTATTTTGGGCAGAAAAGAAACAAAACATACTCGACCCGGCAGCAAATCGAAAAACGCCGGCGATGCCACCACTCAATCCCAGATCTTTGTGCTCAACGCCCATCTGGGCCACCGCAATGGACAGGTAAATGGCCCAGCCGTAGCCGCACTGCGACAGGAAGATGAAGGCGATCATCAGGCCCTTGTTCGTGGGCGACACCATGGCCAAGAGCGAGCCGAAGAGGACCATGACGAAGACCGACCCCGTCAACTGCCACTGCCAGTTCTTGATCCTGCCGCCCAAGACGGATAGCATCAAGGCGCCGAGGGTGATGGCCAGCCCCTGCGGCAGGGACAGCACGATGGCGTAGTGCCAGTCGGCCCCGCCGTCGGTGTAGAAGGCGTTGATGATGGTCGGCCACAGAATGCTCCCGGAGTAGTAGAACATGTTGACCACGGCCAGCGCGATCGCCGGCGCCGTGAAGTCGCGGCCCCGGGACGACGCGAAGACGTACGTCGGGGTCAACGGATGCTCGCTGCGTGAGAACGTCTCCCACAGCGCAAAGCAGACGATGAAGAAGAATCCAATCACCAACGGGGCGACGACGTGTGCATCGTCCGACGGCACGACCGTGGTATACACCATTCCGACAAGCGCGGGGACTGCACCCGCAACGAACAAGGCGCCCCCTGGTATCCCACCATCAGTCAGTCACTCTGCTCAGAGGGGGAGGGGGAGAAAGTCAGCCTTTTAGGAAAAAGTCTTACCGACATAGTCAATCTTCGGTAGCACCTTCTTCACCGGTAATCCGTATCTGTTTCGAGAATTGTCAGTGGCGTGGCCTCAGTGATTCCAATTCATAGCACCTGTCCCTGGTAGGTAAATACTCACGGATGGGCGGGAGGGAAATAGAGGAAGAGCAGTCCGAGAAATGACAGGAACTGTGCAATTGCCGCGGCATAAAAGTTCCATCGCCACGAGTGCGAGTGGAAGCCGTACAGACCAGTAATCGGCGCAAGGATGACGGCCAGAAGCGTCGTCACGTCTGCTATCACGACGCCGATATGGCGCCATTTGTTCGGGAGCAATTCAGGCAGCGCAAATGCAGCCATCTAAGGAAATGCGTTTGTTTCTCTGTTAGCCCTCTCATCTCGCTCTGGTGGGAAACCCACGAGGGGGAGGGAAAGACATACCTGGCAGTTGGCTCCACCGAATCCTGATATAGCCATTCCTGCGATGACGGCGTTGACGTTCTTGGAGGAAGCAGTGACAATGTGGCCAACGGTGCATATCTGGGATCAGTTCTTTAGAAGAAAATTCTCTCGATGGCGAAAAATGCTCTTCGTTGCCCACCAGATTTCCAAGGGTCAAAAACCAACGTCGGCCAAGCATGTCGGTGTTTGCGCCACTGCCTTGCGTTAGTATATCATCTTCCCCCTGACTGGACCCATCCGTGAGGAGCACTGCGTACCACAGCATAAAGCAAACGGTGATGGATATCGTCCAGGACTGAGCCGCGTTAGCTGGTTAACCCGGTCCACTGTGGAACCAGGTGACACGCACAGGGATGAACCAGATGTATTCCGACGGGGCGTCGAGCTCCCCGGCGATGAGGCCCCCGATATTTGCCATGACTGGAATGGGCCAGAAGGACAGACCGTAGCCGCAGGACAGAATCTATCCAGCATGTCAAAAGTCAGAGAGCGGGGTCCATGTGTTTCGTTGAATACACCTACCCCCACGACAATCCATGTCTTGAACGTCACGACTGGCTCCTCCTCCTCGTCGGAATTCACGTCCTCAACCACGTCTGCAGACTCGAGCTTGGTCTCCTGGTCGATGCCATGATGTTCTGTCGGGGGTTCAGAGTGGTCCTTCCCACTGTTGATAGTCTTCTCTTCTGCCATGACAGTCTGCCCCAAATGACTAGGAACAGTAGTGACACGGGCGACGGTATGGTTCTCCCTCCATCGAGCAGGAGCTAGCTGCGCGTGGGAGTATCGCAGGATCTTTACATATTAAATTGTAGTGTGGTCGGTATTCACTTGCCGAACAGGTCATTTGCCACATGCACTATTCATTCGTGACGACTCAACGCTATACCAGAAGAGAGACAAGGGAGGGACAAGTGGAGGTTCCGGGGCAAAGACCATGTCGTTCGTTCGACTCTTTCGGCAGTAGGGGGGGCATGCCATGTGTGTGCTGGATGAACCATCTTCGGCGAAAGATGACCGAGTCCCTGCAGGTCATTGTTTCAAGGGACCAGCTGCTGTATTGAGAAGAAGCGGTGACTTCTTGCCCTAAGGAGGCCAAGTCGTCTCTCACAGTTATAGCCAGGGGGCAAGGGTGCCGTCAAACTGACAGAAAGATTGGGATATCAGAAGTTGTGGCTCATACTGGACTTGGGAAGTTTGCAAGGATACGGAACATCTATCGGTATCATCGGAGTCGTTGGTGATGGGAAAATTCCAGGTTTGCTAAGGCGCCCAACGTGGAGTTGGTGTCAAAGAATCTCGCTAGAGCCATGCCAGACTAACCCGATTCGTCCAGGGTAGAGGGGATTCATGCCCCACTTCCTTCTCCTCCTCGTATCCATCTCGCCATGTACCAATGTGTGTTGCCCTTTAATACACTTTGTTTAATTTGCGGGTAGATCACAAGATCCTCTATTATACATAGAGCCCGACGTATCCCCAGCACAGCCTACCGAGGACTTGTCGTGCTTGGAGTTTTGCTTGTTGTCGGCATGGCATGGGTGTTGGTCTGTTGTTCATGGCCTCTGAGTATTGCGTATTGAGTAGCATCAACGTTGGCTTTATATCTCAAGAGCCTCAAAACAGTCAATACCGCTGACTCCCAGTAGAAGGTCTGTTGCCGTCGTGCCACTATACTCTGATTGCCATTTCCTCCCACAGCGGCCAAGATGTCGCGAGTTGTATCTGTTGCTATCACGAAGAAAGATATTGTTTACCTAGCAATTCGGACCACGCCCTGTCTCTCGGAGGATAAGGGTGCAGGTAATGGAGATGAGCACGTCAATGGCCATCGAGTGGCAGTTACATATTCTCGCATCGGATTCGGAAGGTCCAGCATACGAAATCCTCAAAACTTGGCCACAGCAATAATACGAACCACCACGACCGAGGCTGAAACCCGTTATGAGTGGATCTCGACGAAGATTGGAAAGGGAAAGGCGAATAACTTCAGATCGAATATGAACCTTTACTCCGCCTGTACTCCCCTCATCCTCCCCCTCTTCTTCGTTCGTGGTTGCGGTACAAAATATATGCGGGGAAAAATGTCGACCCGGAGTTCAATTGCCGGGTGCTTGTCCGAATGGATATAGGTGCAGGCCATGGTCGAAGGGGGTTCGAGGGGAGGGCCCAACAAGGCAGTGTTCCCGTTCCCGTCCAAATCGATCTTCCAAAACGAAAAACATCAATAACGTCAACGCTCGAACGTCGAAATTTGATCCGTAAACGGACATGTCTTCTCTAGAGGGAAAGAGGGTAGGGCCGTCGCGATGCCATTGTTCTGAGCAGATCACGAGCTAAAAACTGGGTGTCTACAGATCGCCGTTACAGGTGCAGCGAGTGGTATTGGACTGGCGACGGCCCAATTACTGGCCAGCCGCGGTGCCGTGCTGTCGCTCTCGGATATCAACCAGGACAGTCTCCAGAAGGCCCTTGACTCCCTACCAGGCAAGGGTCATTTCATCACCGTTGTCGATGTCCGAGACAGCGCCAAGGTAACGGAATGGATTAAAAACACCGCAGAGCGCCTGGGTGGGTTGGACGGTGCGGCCAACGTTGCTGGCGTCGAACGAGAAGGTGGGCGCCATCTCGCTGACTCTCGGGACGAAGACTGGGATTTCGTCATGGGCATCAATGGTGCAGGGGTGTTTTACTCCATGAGGGCAGAGCTGCAGCAGATGTTGAAGGGTGGAGGCGGCTCGATCGTGAGTAATCTACACCTTGCTTGCGCAGAGTGTTCTGCTTCGTGTGGTCTCGAGGATGTCAGGGCTTAATAAATATCTCCAGGTAAACGTTGCAAGCGTTGCAGGATTCATCGGACTGGCTGATACGGGAATATACAATGCCAGCAAACATGCCGTCCGGGGCCTGACGAGAACAGCAGCGCGCGAGTACGGATCTCACAACATCCGAGTAAACGCGGTGGCCCCAGGTATGCAATGCTTCCCACTTCTCTAGTGACCCAAGTCTTTGAGTAATTAGTTAATCGTTGCGAAACACAGGCGTCATCAGGACCCCCTTGGTCAAAGCCATGGAGGAAACATTCAGAAATGGCACGGTCACGACCAAAATGCAAGCGATAGACCGACAGGCAGACCCAAAGGAGGTTGCAACGGTCATTGCCTTCTTACTGAGCGACGACGCGAGTTTTGTGACGGGATCAACATACAAAGTCGATGGGGGCTGGACTGCTTAGCCGTCCTAAGATTTAGTCCTCTGTTCCTTTTTCCATCGGTACAAATAATTTGCTTCTTTGCCTTCCCCGCAGGCTGAGAACAACTTGTCCAAACTTGGGGTTACCCGGTCTGGTGTTTCGAAGATGGAGATGAACAGAGATCCCTAGAACTAGAAATCGAATTCTCATGTCTTGTTCGGGGCTTGAAGATGTAGTGGTAGGTAGCATAGTGAATAAAACAAGTCTCAGGAAGAGTGATTTTTCGCAGAGGGGTATGTACCCCCCATGTTATAGAGATGTGAGATACTCGGATATCATTACCCCTCGAGTCGTTCGGACAACATAGGAGGAACGTAGATAACAGTACAGTGTCATCTCACGCTTGGGGTATCATCAATCTAACCTCGCCGTCGGTAAATGCTCTGGGCCTACCTCGTGATCTCGGCATTTGACGTCCGCGCTCTCTTTGTGGTATAAAGGGGGTCTGCTCTGTGCGTATTCTCCATCTCTCTCAGGGTTGCTGCCAACGATTTGCACCACTTTCCTTGTTCCTTCTCGAAACATGGTCAACTATCCAGACTTCGACTCGCTGCCACCAGTCGAGGGCCAGCCTCAAGGGAATGCCTGGGCATTCTGGGGCAAAGGCGATCAACTCGGAAGTGCGTTCCTCCTTTTCGCTCAGTTCCATTTTGCATAGACAGTACGAGAGAGGGGAATTAAAAGTGGTGAGCTGACGTCCTCGTGTAGCATTAAACCTCCTAACCCCCGAGGTCATTCGAGATGCGTCCCGAGAAGTAAAGGCCGGGAAATCCATCCAGCTGGACCTGCGGCTGGACCACTTCGACTATGGGATCGCGGGCCGAGAGAGGTTTCAGCAGACGATTGTGGACTTCAAGGAGCGAAACAAGGGCGGTCAATACGAACTCGTCGGCCACGACGACGTGGTCAAGTTCAACACGCAGAGCAGTTCCCAGTGGGACGGGCTCCGTCACGTCGGCCTGCAAAACTCGGAGACCTACTATAACGGGATGAAACATCGGGAGATCGACGAGGATACCACAGGCAGGCTTGGTATTCACAGTGAGTACTCCATTTCCACTCCATTGACCCACTTTTGGTCTTCTCCCCTCTGTTTCTTTCAGACAAAAACTCTAACCGGGGGACATTGCAGACTGGGTTGAGAATGGAGGGATCGTCGGCAGAGGCGTCCTTCTGGATTACCACCGATGGCGGCAAGAAACGGGCAAACCCCCAGTCAAAATTGACTCTTCGTTTGCCATCACGGTGGACGAACTCGACGAGGTGGCCAAATACCAGAACCTCGAGCTGAAAGCGGGCGACATCTTGATCATCCGCTCCGGGTTCACGGCGTGGCACGATTCTACGCCCTCCAGCGAACGCGTCGAACCCTGGGACAGGGGCGAATTCATTGGACTCGAGGCGTCCATGAAGTCTGTCAAGTGGCTGTGGAACCACCACTTCGCCGCCGTCGCAGGGGACTCGCTGGGGTTCGAGGTGTGTCCCGCGCCGTTTGGGATCAAAGACAGAGTCTGTCTTCACGAATGGTTGTTGACGCACTGGGGGTGTCCGATCGGCGAGCTGTGGAATCTGGAGAAGTTGTCCAAGGTCTGCGCCGAGCTTGGACGGTGGTCGTTCTTCTTCACGAGTGCGCCGCTCAATGTGTTTGGTGGTGTTGGCACGACTCCAAATGCGATAGCGATCTTGTAAGACTCTCTCAATCGGTATGAGGTCTCCGTGTCGTGTGACCTGGCGCTCCATCCGGCGTAATGGGTTCACAAGGCTCGCGGTTTCAGCCAGACACGAGAAGGATCTTCACACTTCGCCAATCTTGAGACTCACCCAAACAGTAAGCCTGTAGTCACAATGACCTGTGGAGGTATCATAGTCCCATATAAAGCATGCTGTCATGCCTCGTCGCTTGGTACGAAAAAGTTCAACTCCCTCGTGTCGTCCATACTTATTTCCGCATCTCATTCATTCCACGGTCTTCATTCCAGCAGTTTTCTTATACACCTCCTCCAGCCGGCCCACCAAGTCATAAAGATGAACGCTTCCCTCACCGTCACCCATCAGAATCCTCTCAATATCCTTGACCCTATTGCCGTCCAGGCCAATAACCACGGCCTTCTCGATCTTTCCATTGTCGGAGATTTTGATCCGACCAACGCGGTCATCGGACCAAACGATGCGGAGCTGTCGTGAGTCGACCTCCAGGGCAGTAAGGGAGCATACGTTGAATTTTCCAGCGAGGTTCTCCTCTTCGTCGTCGTCGTCTTCGTCATCAGATCCACGATCTGGGTCATTTTCTACGCTTTGGGGGGAGCCCAGACCCCCGTCAACGGGTTTATCGTTGTTGGTTTTTGCACCTTCTACTTGATCTTTAGCAGGTCTTGTGGGAATCTCCGGAATCTCCAATTCGTCTTGTAGCCATTCTGTTGCGTCTCGCCTCAGTCGCCAGTTCACAAGATCATACCTGACACGAGAAACGAGAGTGTGGAGATCTTGTTTCGTTGGTGTTTCCCCTTCGTCGACGTTGAGTCCAGAGTCGTCTGAACCACCGAATCCTTCTTCATCAGACCCAGGAAGATACTGCTTTTCATAGTGCTCCAAAGGCACCAGCGCCGGAATTGTGTGTCGGTGGATCCGCAACTCACTTCCCGTGTCTCGAGCCCGGACGCAGAATATATAATAAGGACTATCGAAGAGGCCTTTGCGATTGCAGATGTCAATCCTGATCCCAAGCAGCGGGTTCCGCGACTGCAGTTCGGGTGAGGGATCGTGGAAAGGGAATGAGGTTACACCAAAAGCGAGTCGGTGGGCGTTCGTCTGGGAATGCTGTTGTAGGTCCTCCAGTTGTAGAGGATTGTGGTCGTTTGAGGATGCATTCGAGGCTGGAGAGTGATTCGAGAGGCGCGACTGGATCTTTGTTGATGCAAGCAAAGAGGCCGTCAGGAGTTTGCGCTGTTGGGTGAGTTTTTCAACTGCCAATATGTCAGGCGACATACACCGAGTCGAGGTCACACTGTACGTACTTTCAGCTCTGACTTGGGTGATCTCGTCGTCTGGAGAGTCGCTCATCATCACATCCATTGACGGCAGGGGAGGGGATGCAACCACAGCCATTTCTGTCTCGAGTCTTGATCTCGGTCTTCCTGTGTTGTCAACGTTCAACACCACCAGACTTGCGACAAGCGAAGTTCAACCGAGGGGTCAGCATTCGACGCGTCCTGAGCTTATCAGACGCGTTCCAGGCCCTTATCTTAGCTACCGTGGGATACTCGCTTGGGAATAGGGCTTTCACGTGTTCGGTCAGGGGTTCAATAGTATGCCGGCAATAAATAAAGTACCAGCAAAGAAATCTGGGGGGGCGGCCACCTTGCGCTTCGCTTGCCGATACGATTAAAATGAGGACGTCTCCTGCACGAGACAGTCATGAACGTCAATCCTACATGATGCGTTGTTGTAAGGGGAGGGAGTCGTAGATGCAGAATCTCCCTTCTCCATCCATGATCTCACGTATCGCACGGAGCACTTCCAGAATCATCGTTGGTCATTCGCCGGTCTCGCCCCTGCGAAAGGACACAGCGTCCTTTTCTGTTCCTATCCACTCACCACCCACCCACGCTCTTTTTCTGCCGCATGGATGCCTGACTCGATTGCCGAACCATATACAATCCCAATCTTTTACGCTCGCTCCCACCCCGCCGAAAATCCCATCCTTCCAGTCCACAGTGCCGGCCCAGTTAATCCCAGACAGTCCCAAGAGATCGAACTAGACGAATACCTGTCGGCAAACCCAAATCAAACCCGACCAACACACGCCAGGCAAGACGAGGAAGGCGAAGAGACAGAGGCAGAGGAAGACTCCGAGACTGACGCATCCGAAAAAGACCACCTCGTGGTTGCGGAAGGGTCTGAATCACCTATGCAACGCAGAAAGTCCAAGAAGAATAAGGACAAGAGATCGTCATCTCGCCCAGATCTGCGTATCGAGGTCAATCAGAACGGCCACGCGAATGGCCACGCCAACGGTGACATGAATTCCCACATTGAGATGAGACGCAAACACGTCTCGAGCGATGACCCTACGACCAACACCAGCCGACTCATGAGCAGAAATGATTTTTCCCTCGATCATGAGCCGCCGCCTCCTCAAACGCCGCAGACCCCGAGCATGGTCAATACCAGCTTCGTCGACCTCCCTCCGAAAGACAAGAAGAACTTCCTCCTTCTCTGCCTCCTATATTTTCTCCAGGGAATCCCCATGGGGCTGGCTTCGGGCTCTGTCCCTTTTCTGTTAAAAAGCTATCTCTCATATGGACAGATTGGCATTTTCTCTCTGGCCATCTACCCTTACTCTTTGAAACTGCTGTGGAGTCCGATTGTGGATGCAGTTTGGAGCAGGCGGTTTGGACGGAGAAAGAGTTGGATTACTCCTATTCAAACGATTTCAGGACTCTCAATGATTTACCTTGGAGGTCAGATTGATGAGATGATGAGAGCTACGGGCGACAATGACGGAGCTGGAGTCTGGAGCTTTACTGGCTGGTGGTTCCTTTTGGTTTTCATGTGTGCCACTCAGGACATCGCAGTGGACGGATGGGCCATTTCGCTGCTGTCAATTCAGAACATTTCATATGCCTCGACGGCCCAGACGGTTGGCTTGACTGCTGGCTCATTCTTATCGCACACCGTTTTCCTCGCCCTACAGGCGCCAGACTTTGCCAACAGATGGTTCAGGACTGTACCTCAGGAGTATGGTCTCTTCACCCTGGGAGGCTACATGACCTTTTGGGGCTGGGTTTATCTCATCGTAACGGTGGGTCTAGCCATCTTGAAACGAGAAGAGAAGAACAACGAGCGTGAAGGGATCATGGAAGTATACAGAACCATGTGGGCAGTGCTCAAACTGCCCAATGTCCTCACCATCATCATTGTCCATCTTGTCAGCAAACTCGGCTTTGTGACCAATGACGCAGTCACGAATCTCAAGCTTCTCGACAAGGGCTTCGGGCAAGCAAACATGGCTCTTGTTGTGCTCATTGATTTCCCGTTCGAATTGGGCTTGGGATATTACGCTGGGAAATGGTCCACCGAATACACACCGCTGAGGGTATGGTGCTGGGCTTATGCCGCACGGCTTCTCGCGGCTGTCTTTGGTCAGATTACGATCATGTTATATCCAACTGCGCCGGATGAGGCTGTGCCAGCGTGGTACATGCTGGTGGTGATTGCTGCACATGTTTCGTCAACATTCATGAACACCGTCATGTTTGTTGCTTCGGCTGCGTTTCACGCTCGAATTGCAGATCCCACGATCGGCGGGACATATATGACATTATTGGCCACGTAAGTTGACCCCTCTTTTTTTTTTGACAGGCACAACTCCTTTGCTGACCTTTTGTTTAGTGTTTCGAATCTCGGCGGCACATTCCCCAAGTTTTTCATCCTCAAACTGGTCGACCTCTTCACAAAGGCGACCTGCATCCCACCTGCCGACCCTGATACGTTCCTCAAATCTCATCCCGATGCTACCCTCGTCACCAGCAGTTTCAGCTGTGCGCTCGAAGCAGACAAAAACACGTGCCTGAAGGGAGGTGGGACTTGCCTGATGCAGCGTGACGGATACTACATCACGAATGTCATTTTTGTGATTGTCGGAGCGGTATTGTTCTGGACTTATGTGGAGAGGAAAGCTCTTGCGCTGCAAGCGTTGCCGTTGCGCGCGTGGAGAGTAGGGGATCACTCGTCGTACCGCCGAGTGCCTTCAGGATGATTCTTTTGTATTTACATTCGTCATGTCGTTTTTATACCAGAAATGATACCCATAGATTCGAAAAGTTTTCGACAAATACAACAATTGACAAGAGATATTTCCAGACTGCGTTTGCCCCTTGAATACATACTTTTTTGGTTACAGGCCAGTAGCCACTCGCCGCGAGGCTGCAAGACGCTGCACGTGATATAAAATTTCAAATGACAGAGGGATTTGAGAGCAGGAGACCAGGACTCATGCGTTCTACCGTCCTTTGCCTCCTCCATCGATTTTAGGGGAAAGAGACAGAAAAGCCTTCTTGTGTTTGACGCACTCACTCTGTGTCTGCGATCGATATATGTTTTTTGAGGGACAGACTTTATTGGACAGCCGTGTGGTGGTGCGTCATCAGTCTTTTCACTTTTGATCGGGGGGAGAGACTCGGTACACATGTCTAAGCTGGTGTGGTACTCTATTATTGCATACGAACGACAGCAGGGTGAGAGAAGTCGGTGAGAAAGTCACGGTTTTGGATCTCTCGAACCAGCTTATCCTCTTGGGGGGTTTGAGCCGTGCAGGTGAAGGTCAAAATGGCCGAGGTGGAAGAAAACCACTCGACACTGGTGAATCCCAGGAGGGCCGAGTCCCCTCATTCGACGCCGTCGCCCCCGGTCCACAGTCCACACTCGTCGTCGCCCAACACCACGATGACGACACCGGACCAGTCGCCCGGGAACGACGATGATATCTGGGACACGTCGTCGGACCATGAACACGCCCCGCACGCGGCGGCGACGGCGGCGGCACTGACAGGCGGGGCGTCGGATTTCCCGGCCCAGTCGTCAACAGACACGTCCAGCCACGGACAAGGAGGGGCGGCGAGGATCAGGCGAGAAGTCATCCTGAGCGATGTCCCCTCGCTGCGTCGTCAGCACATGACGGACGGATACCGCGAGGGCCTCTCGGTGGGAAAGGCGCGGGTCATGCAGAGTGGTTTCGACGCGGGATACCCCTTGGGGGTGGAGGTCGGACTACGCGTGGGCAAAGTGCTGGGGGTTCTGGAGGGCGTCGTCTCAGCCCTGACCACCAAGCCGGCGCGGTCGAGTGGTAAACCGGTCGGCGAAGCGGGGTTGGGTTCTTCTACAGCGACAGGTTCAAACACCTCGCTACCAGGTATTGAAGGGCCGCAACACGGCGTCGTCGATCGAGAAGACGAGCCCCACGGTCTCAACACTTCTCGTCCCGCCCCAGGGGATGACGACGACCTGACTTTTGTCCGAAACCTGTATACTCGGGCCCAAAGGGAGCTGAAGATTTCAGAACTGCTAAAGGGCCTGGACGATGAGAAGATTGCCTCGATTCCGGATGCCGCCATCAATAGTACCAGTGGCGGTGACGGTGACGGCGGAGGAGGCATGGAGCACAAGCAAGCTGAGAGAGCAGCACCACCACCACCACCACCATTGCCCACGGAGATCGAGGCTGTCCTGGTAAAATGGGAACGAACTGTGCTGGGCGCGCTGAGAAAGAATGATTGAAAGATGACGATGAAGACGACGAAGACAGAGACAAAAACCCATATAAACCACCCATCCATGCATGAATCGGCCACACCCACACCCGCACCCAACACGCCACGGAAATCTAGGACCATTTATTAGACCGCTCAAAGAACCCACTCAGCTTCACTCCCGTTTGCGCCAGGCAGTACCTCATTACACCACAACTCAGGACCGTACGGGCCGTACAAGTCCGTACGACGACGCCACATTCCCGAACCGGAAACGGGTTGCACTAGCAGCAGGAGCAGGAGCAGTAGCAGGAGCAGGAGTGTGGGAGAGAGAGACATGACGGGTCCGGAGAGGCGACAACCGAGCCTCGATAGATTGACGGACGAGGTGCGAACAGACTCCCCTAAACGAGACGATACGTTGAAACTGCGTTGAAAAGGACAAGTACGTCGAACGCGCGCACATACTGGTCATGGGCAACGGTAGCGATGGACGATAGTAGTGGATGATGGAGGTGGAGGTGGTGATGGCGGTGGCAATTGTACGGTCATGTACATATCACAGGTGCCGCTCTCTATTGGTACGTGCGTGTATATGTACTGTATACACCTACATTGCCACACCACAGAGGTCTCTCCTCTCCTCTCCTCTCCTGGTCGGATTTTCCACCGGCAAGAGAATATTTGCGAGAGTTGATAGGGGTATTATCGGGCAAGGGACAATGAAAACATGAAACATGATAGTGGTGAGGGATGATGGTTTTGCATGTCCTTTATCTCTTCATCCATGCTCGATGTGCTTGTTGGGCACGTGCTCCGTATTCGTACAAGGAAAGCTCCTTCTCCATCATAGAGCACATATTCATTGTATCTTCGTCAATCTCGTCTCACCACCCTCCCTGGCAGTCTCATTTTCGTCCTGACACGCGCATTCTCGGCCCTACTCCATTCTCGCATACCTCTCTCTCGCTCTTTGCCGCGTCTCTTCTAAAAACCCACCGTAATCGCCTTTGGTATTTCGCTCCGCTTCAACAACAGCATCGCCAAGTTTGCCGCCTTGAGCACCCAATCCGACTCCAGCAACATAGACATCTTGACTTATCGGCGCCGTCATCCCCTCTCCAGACGCACCAAGGCCTTGTCCGGCGGTATAGCCCATTTTGCTCAGCAATGAGGCGCCCTTGGACTGAATAGGTGGCTGGGAACTTTCATCATCCGATGACGCGCGTGATGACCTCGGTGCGTTTCCAACTTGTTCGCCTTTTTTATTGACCACACCATAGATCTTGCGTCTCTCTTTTGCTCGATCGCGATATTCATGCACAGGTTTCGCCGCGGCCATGACAGGCTGCAATTGAATCCCGTGTTTCGCTAATTTCGCCTCTGCCTTTTTGACCTTGATTTCATCTTGTAAATTCGAGCGGTGTAGGTCGCTCAGACGCTCGTGCTTGTTGACTTCTGCCGCGTTATTGAATTGACGCATACAGAGATAGCAGCAGTGTCGAGTTGGGTCCGCATAAGACTGCGATGGCGGTGCCTCCGTACTTTCATTCCCATCCGTTGATCTCGAGTCGTCCCTAGCCTGGGACCTTTTGGAGATGCCATGCAGTTCAGCGTGACGATTACTCCAGAACTGGAGGTGCGATGGCACCGTCTTCTTGACTCCGATCGTCTCCGCCTCTGTTTGAGCCTTTCGCTTCTTCGCCTTCTCTGTGTCTTTGGCTGGTTTGCTGCCTGCCTCTGTGCGTGTGGCAGCGCCATTCTTGGGCTCCTGTGAGCTCGTGTTTGGCATCGATACAGCCAGTTCCTTCACATACGCCCCCTCGTCCCAATATGCCAGCTTCATAGCGGGATTGCCCACGGGGCTGAAGCAGAAGCGTTCAGTGTCAGGAGTAGAGTTCAATACGGGAACGAAGACGCCAGCATGGATATAGCTGACAAGCACCTGCTTCGATGCGATCGTGAATCGCTCAAAAGAATTGTATCGAGTCAATGCAGCTTGTGCGTCCTCGATCGAGGCATACTCTGCAAAGCCATACCGCCAACTCTCGTTGGTTTTTCGATCGCGGACAAGCAGCACTCGGCGCAATGTACCTTCTTTGGCTCCAAGATTGGCGTCACCGGTGGTGGACGCAACTTTGGCACCTTTTTTAGCAGACAGTTCATCTTTTTGAGTTGATGAGCTTGGTTTGTTAAGCTTTGATACGCCTTTAACGAGCAACTCTTCCGACACAGAAGGCTCTAACCCACGTAACAGAAGGAATTGAGAGGGGCGGTTGTCTGGGGAAGCATCGTTATCGCCAACGTTGGGCGGCTTCGTCGGGATAGCGTAGGTTGGATGCTCTATAAACCGTGAGCAACGTAACGATACTCGGTTCCATCAGACGTACCTGGTTTCTCAGCTTGACATCGGAAACATCGATCTCGAGTTGCAAAGTTGTTGATGAGGCACTATCAGGTCATCAGCTTTGTAGCTCCAAGGCCATGCATTTCCCACGACATACCGAATCGCAAATCCAATCTGGTTCCTCAGTCCTGCGCGGGTCTTTCCGTTCTCGACTGAATGTTATCCGAACTTTGGCTGCGCTTCCGTTGGACTTATTGTTGTCCCCATACAGGTAGAGAATGGGGTAATTGCGATCCATGAAAGCTTCCGCTTCTTGTACTGCGCCGAAGCGGATAAAGCCAAATCTCCTAGACTGTTCTGCCAACCATGTGAGAAGAGTATCCCCCAAAATGCCCCTAAGTCTTTCCTCCCAAGCTTACTGGTTTGCTTGTCGCGAATGACTCGAACATCCTCGAGGCCTTCGGCATGATAGTATTGTTTGAGTTCCGAGGAGATCTGTTTCGCAAAGTCGAGAAAAACCTTAGCCATATATTCCGGAGGAAACAGAGCAAAGTCATCGTGGACAACCAGATGATTTTGCGTGTGGTCAGGGAAATTCGGGCAGGAGTATTCGAACATCGTTTTCAGTCAGATGAGGAGCTAGTCCATCCATCATAATTTCCCTGCTTGGAGCGCCCCGACTCGGTGGTCTCTCGTCTGAGGAGGTCCGATATCTGCTTCGACTTCGACTGCGGTAGTCTCGTGAACCGGAGCGAGGGTCGTCTCGGTCATAATACGCAGATCTACCTCGGCGAGGAGAGGGCGAGCTGCGATCATCATCATAATACCGGTTGCGCCTGTCATAGCTGCGGTCACGTCTTCGATCTGGACTCCGTGCCCGACCACGAAAATGGAATTCTCCCTGAGACGGTCCGATTGGTGGTCGGCTTATGTCTTTGAGTGTTTACATATCAGTATAATGGCCTCAATCTCCCGCCCCTTTCTGAACTATGGTTTACCGTGTGGAGGACTTCGTTTCTGAGGGGAGCTCTGTCTGCGTTCTCGGGATCGTGACCTCGACCGGTCATCGTAGAAATCATCTTGTTGTGAGGCATGATATGGTCTGTATGGCTGTTGAGGGCCGTTGTGCCCACTGCGCCGGCGATAAGACGACATGAGTTTACGAAGGTAGAAGGTGTACGTTGTGAAGCAAGTCGGGATGAGTGTCACTGCGAGTGTCGTGTCGCAGTCAACATTCGTGAACCATTCGGCAAAGTTTCCTGAACCGATGATTAGAGACGAGGCTGCAACTCCGTACTAATGTCATCACCAGGCATACACAACTATCTCACAATCTGATTCTCTGCTAGGGTCACAGACGTCCAAGTGTCGTTGCCAGATGTATGCAAACAATGCAGGGTACGAATCTACACTACAGGCAGGCCGTCTTAAGCACTCTTCTCGTTCGCGATTCTCCTCCCCAGAAACCCCATCAGTCTCTTCCCGCCCCGCTCCTCGGTTGTTGTTCTGAAACCGCATCTCTCACTTTTTGTCTCCGTTTCTGGCCGGCTCTTTTGGAGCTTGGGTCTGACTTCTTCTTCGACCGTCGGCCCAAACTCTGTGACTGTGGCTGGAGCCGTCTGCGGCACGCACGCTTTCCTAAGCATTCCACCACTATTGAAAGGACTTAGTGGTCGTCGTTTTCTGTCCACGTCAAAGTTTGCCCCGTTGATAGTCACCGTGAGCTTCTTTTTCAAGCGTTGTCGAGGTGATTTGGTCGATGGGGTTGGTGATGGTGGTATTTCAGCATTTCTCTTTGTTCGTTTATCCTCTGTGGTTTTCTCGCGCCGGCTGGGTGATCTGGGAGACCTCGGAGATCTTGGGACCTTTGATGATAAGTCCTCGATACTATCTTTGGTTCTGACGCTAAGCGAATCATCGGAGTCGCTGAGTGGGGTATTGATGGAGCTTGCGGAGGACTTGGTTTTTGTCAGTGTCGGTCTTTCTGTTATCGAGGTAATGTGTCCGATTTTGGTGGGTGATGTCAGTGTGGAAGATTGACGAGGAGAACTTCCAAGTGGTGAGCTATCGTCCCAATGTTCATGCGCAGTGTCGTGAGCGGATTCGTTCACCAACTGAACATTTCCTGAACTCTCCGATACGATTGAGGATCTAGTGCTGCATGTGGAAGGGCAAACTTGCAACTGGACAATGCCATGCTCCTCGAGGTATTCTGAAGAGATAGTCAGTACATCCATTAGTCCAGAAGAATAGCGTGCTGACCATAAGGGCGAAAATGGAATTGAAAAGCTGCGTATGGCATATCAACCGGGTCAAGGAGTTGATACTTGTATCGTCGAGGACGAATACAGGGCTCAAGATAACCACTGTTGGTCAACCTGCACACTGTGAGACTTCTGCGGATAAGCAGAAGAGAAGAGACACTAACCGCAGCCCATCAGCATTATCACTGACACTGCCAGTCTCTCCCAGGCCTGGTTCAAGGTCTCGAACTCGCTTCCTATGTTCGATGCGATGTACGTTGATCTGGACTATATCCTCGTCGTGCCCACCTCTTTCGCCGTCTTCCAGTCCTCCAAATCTCAGTGCCTGTGTCTTGAGCACGGCGCGACCACTGTCTGGATCCAAGCCTTCGCTAATCAGGTTGTACATCATTTTGCCATGGAAACCATGCTTTGCCGTGCAATCCCACGATGTGACGACCTTGCCGTTGATTAGGAGTTTGAAGAACCAGGCGGCTTCCGGAGGATGTGGGCCGTCGACGGTGTATTCGAACCAAATCTGGCTGCCGGGGTAGATTGGGACGAAGCAAGCAACAGACGGATAAGGCGAGGAGGGCGCATTCTCGTGCTGGTAGTTGAGTTGGAAAGGATCCTTCGGTCCAGAAGAAGGCTTGTGGTACTGAAACTCTGGTAGCCTGCAGATGTCGAACTGTGATACGATGCAGATCTCAATCCCTCGTAGCTTCACCATAGTGGATGGGTATCTGATCGTGCATCAGGACGTCAGAGAGAATGAAGGGCTTAGATGGCTATCGGGTCTGTTTGAGAGGAGTCGGTACAGAGGTCGCAATCTTGCGATTGATGCTAGTGGTAGCTCAACCTGGTCAGCTTCAGTCGAAAGGAAGGAGTGAAGGAGGTGGGTGTGGCAGAAAGAGTCCTGCCATAAGGTTTCTACAGAACTACATGATCCGAGAAACCTTTACGGGAGCGAAGACGTCGGTATTGCCATAACATTTTGGTTCTCATTCAAGGAGGATGCTGTTGTGCAACTCCATGACCAGAACCCCTTGGTTTCATTACGACATCAAGTCCAGCATCAGCAACTTCCTTGGACGCCAGGCTGGACCGCTCATGTTTCCCATCTACGCTGCTTCTTACATTCGACTCCCTTTAGCCGAGTCGCGTATTTCCTGCCCCCTTCACGGTTCAATGCACAACTCACTCCCTCACAGTTCCCAGGCCCAATGGCTACCAACCGAGCTTCACTTCTTCATCTTCCTTCACCACCACAAACTCAACTTCCTCATGCTCCGGATTCAGGTACAGCATATTGAACCAGTCCAACATATGCCTCCAGCATCTCGCTATCGCATTCTCCGTATACGCGTGCTCTCCACTAGCGTAGCAGTTGCAGCCAAACTCATCACGACCAGCTATCGGTGTCTCAATGGCCGAGTGGGAGACGAAATAAGCTCGACACCGCTTGCTCACGAAGGTGATAAAGCCGTCCGACGCACCATTGTTGATGAGATCTGCTATCTTGTGTTGAGGTGTGACCAGAGTAATGCCGTTGATGCGCCCTGACCATGCATCCCCTGCAGAGAAGTGTCAGTCCGTCCTAGATTTTAGCCAGTGCCACACATACAATGCTCAGCAAGATATTCCAGCACAGCTGTCCCCGTGTACTCCAGCCCGACGAGATCCAGCTTTGCTTCCTTGTCAACCAAAGTTGGAATCACCTTTTCAAACATGTAAGACACGTGCTCCACGTAGTCAAAATTGCCAGGAATTCTATTCTTGACGTTGTCCACTCGTGGAGCATCGTGCACACTACTCGGTCTCGGCAGCGAAAGCCATTCATGTGGCGACACAGCGCGTCCACCGCCTCGATACCAGAGCAGCTGACATGGATTTGCAACGATGAGACCAGCCGCAGACGCAGACGTTGACGTTGACGTTGACGTTGATGTTGACATAGGTGAAGTCTCGAGCACAGGGACAGACAGGAGAGCTTTGGTGAACTCTACCAGCGAGCCGTGCTTGATACCTTCCTCCCCGATGATGCGCCAGCTCAAGACTCCTGGTTCCATATTCCTCTCGCCAAAGAAGACGGTCACGCGGCTCTTGGTTGTACAGTCCTTGGACACGAGGATAGGGACGTGATTGTCTGATTCGGCTGCACCAAGTGGTAGTCGGACAGTTTCGCAGCCCAGATTGGCCAACCGGTCACTGATGATATGACGGATCGCAGCTAGAATGAATACGTTGAGCAATTAAAACACCCAACCCATACCGACACACGGCTCCGACAATCGAAGAGCGAAGGAAAACTCACTGTTATTTGCCCCTACCAAGGCCCAACCCCACCCCTTGAGCATTAGCCTTTTATGTCCAACAGTGTTCCTAGGAGGAGGAGCTCCATAGAGTGTCGATAGATAGATAGATACCAACCAAAACACCAAACACCAACGCAAAACTCCTTACTCCAGATCGGTAGTGTTGGCAAACAACTCACATTTATGCACCTCATTCCACCGATCATTCCGATTAATCTTGTACTGAAACTTGCGGTCGGGGCTCCGAATCGAGCGGACCCGATCGTCCTCGTTGACGAAGAACCCCAACTTGGCGAGGTCTGGTTCGAAGACGGCGTCAGCGGGGAGCGTGTGAGCGAGACGGCGAAACATGGCGGTAATGTGTGACGTGTGAAGGGTGGATGGTGGACAGTGGATCTGAAAACGCACACGCGCTGGGAGGTGGGTTAGCGCGGCTGGGCTGTGTATATGTCTGTGATCTGTGTATGCGGTGAGTGTGTGGTTTGATTCGGGTTGGTTTCTTTTTGACGGAGAATAGGCGAAATGAGCTTTGATGGAGAACAGAAGCTAAGAGAGTTTTCGAGTTTCGGGAATTTCAATCGTGGATTTTGAATTACAAATCGCGAGTCGCAAGAATGAATGAACGAACGAGGAGGACAAGGCTGAGAGTGAGTAGAAAAGAGGCGTTGGTGAGGCTCTGGAGAGGTGAGGCTTTCAACCAAGTGAAGACCTGAACCACCACACCACCACCACCGATTAAATCACCGTCTCCTTCGTGAGGCCAAAGGAAAGTGGTAAAGCCTTCTTCTCACTGAAACGTCCGGAAACTCAACAAGCCCACGCGCAGACTGTGAAATAAACTAACACCTAATTAACAACGTGCCTAGGTTGAAAGGGAATTACGTATGTGCGCAGAAGGCGAAAAAGTTATGCGAGATTCCGTTCGGCTCGAGATAGAAAAGTCATGTCTGTCTTGATGGTACAAACAACTATTCCAATTTGGCCTGATTTAGGGCAATCGACCATCACCTCATCCTTGTGATGCATCAAAATAAGCGTCATGATACCCTTCATGTCATCTCTAGACTCCCATGCATGCATTTTACTCTCCAAAACAAAATCCCAACCAGTGCATTGCCCAGCCCATTATGTTCACAACCCCATCAAAGTCCGCCCGTAGCATCCATTTGAACATCAAACATGTCCCATAAAGGCATAGCACATGATCCCCCGTTGTTCTTAGTCGTACATATTCAGTAGACTCCTGCCCCATTGGACAATGCCTCCACCCGAGACACATCAACAGAAACTGTAACTCATCAATCTTGGGCGTGGCAGCTCATGATCCAGCTCTGGCAACCCCAAGGCTACCACTTCTTTGCGAATGGAAGCTCCCACTTGCAATGGGTGCAAATCCCTTGGCCAAGTCGAATCCGCCGTCACCATCCTCGTCGTCAGCATCGTGATTTGAAGTCGTATCCGCATTGTTCGCCGAAAGATGTGTACCGAACCTGCTGGGTCCCAGCTGATCATTCACTCCACTCGCTATATTCCCGTTGCTTGAGAAACTGCGTGCGAATCTACCGTTGTCGTCAGATGCCGTCCCGTTCAAGGTCTGCGAGTTTGCAGGACTGTCATCCCTCTTCTTGGCTGAACTTGAGCTGTTAGGAGCCTGACTACCTCTGGCGGGTTTGCTTGGACTGCCCATGCTGGCATCCATAGGCGGCGGGCTCGAACTCATTACACTTCTGTCAATTCCATTGGCTCGCTGGTCTTCATCCTTCACAGGTGACATGTCAGGCAGCGGTTGACCAGGGGTTGCACCCATGATACCCTTCCAGAAGAGCCCTTGAGGCCCCGCAGGCGAGGACTCTGGCATGAACTTGCTAGGAGCAACCAGAGTACTTGGAGGAGCTAATCGAGGGTTCTGTCGCAATGGCGCAGGCGTAATTATGCTATGTTGAGAAGGATGGAAAGGGGTATCCAGGTAGGAGGATGACAGTGTGGGATTTGTCGGTGAACGATGGGGAGGCGGAACAGACGACGGAAGCGTATACATGGGCAGGTTTTTCCCCAGCTGTGGTGTTGCTGCTGCATGGCCATGTCGCAAAGGCGATTCTTCGAGGTCGATATCCGGAAGGGTGTTCTGTGTATCCGTTCTTCGCCTTTGAGGTGTAATAGCCTCTGCGGGATGCGAGACAGGTGGCGCCAGGCTGGGGCTCGGGGGGTATGGTTGTTGCCTTGGGTTGAAGGGAGGAAACGGGAGACTCAGCTTAGCAGAAGCAGGCCCAGCTCGGTCGGACAGATCGCGTGCAGAGAACTGGCTAACCATACTAGTATCATAACCAAGGTTCTGACCATTAGGCCCCCGGAAGTTGGGATTGACTTCTTTGCCAGAAGCGGGCGACGACGGAGCCGAGCCTCCACGGCGGGCTTGTTTCTTCCAGTACTCTTGACGAAATTCTGGGGCAATCTGCCATTTCATCCCCTTTCCAGGCTCGTCTGTCCGTCGAGGAACCTTTTGAAATGCTTTATTCAGTGAAAGATTGTGTCGGATAGAATTCTACTCATGTTAGTATCCAAGGAAGTGAACAATTGAGGCGCAAAGACATACCTGCCAGCCACTGTTGGAGTGGCGATAGAAGGCATACTTGTCAGCAATGAAGGAATAGATGTTGCTCAAGGTCAACTTCTCCTCTTCGCTCGAGAAAATGGCCTGGGCAATCATCGTCGCGTAACTGAAGGGCGGCTTGAGGTCCTTTGCACTGTCCCGACTGTAGTCGATCTCTTGGGTGCTTTCCATCATCATTCCCCGACCATACATGGGCGACATGGGCATTTTACTGTCGAAGACGCCTCGCTGAGACTTGCCATCGGCAATCTGGGCGGGCGGTGTCGCTTCGCGTTTGAAATCGGGAGGTGCTGGAGCCAGCGATGGGAAATTTTGACCCGGTCCCGCCGAAGACTCGTATCTCGCGGTCTCAGGCTGGGGTTGAGCAGGACTGACTTCCTCGCCGGCGGCCAACGCTTTGGCACGTTCAATAAAGTAAGGGTCAATCTCAACCTTGTCACCCGGAGTGACAAACATCATTTGCGTGCCGGCAATCTCCAGGATGTCGCCCGACTTGATCTGTTTCCTCGAGCCCTTTTTGACGAGGACGTTATTGACCCGAACTCCGTTTCGACCGTTAACTCGGACATGCCAGCCACCTTCATCCACCGGATAATCCGCGTCATAGTAGATCGAAGCATGGTGTCGCGAAACAATCTTGCTCGGACCGAGGTCGATATGAACTGGTAAGACGTCCTTCAGGTCGGCGATGGGACTCGAAGCGCCGTTCAAGTTGGGCCGGTCATCTGGCGGCCTGCCAAAGTTGATGGATTGTTCGCGCACAAAGTATGTCCAATCTCGACCGGCAATCTTCGCATATGCCGACACCTTCTGCGGACTATTGCTCTGAACTTTGTCGTTGGAATACTCGGTTCTGGCGACAATGGGTTCTTTGGAAACTTGAAGGTAGGAGACTACCGAGTCGATAAGGTCGCTTTGTGAGATTTCTTCCGTGTCGTCGCCTGAGTCCAGCGCATGTGTGAGTTCAGGTTCAGGATCGGGAGTAACGGACTTCCTTCTGGCAGGCGCAGTACGAGAGTTGTGCACCTGTTTTTTGCAATCATGTTAGCTTCTGCGTCGCTCTTTAAGTGGGAAAAGGCGCGGGGAAAGCAAAAGTACCTTGCGCTTCTTTGCCGAAGTACGCGACGGCGATGAGTCTGGAAGATCGAGCTCCGAGGACTCTGCAAGGTCGGCGGGTTTGCGGCGTGCTTTCCTCTTCGATGGCGGCATATTCGTCCACGTCTACCGGGTCACGGCGCAGAGGTTCGCAGGAAGCAAAGCGCCTAGCAGCAACAGATACTGGGAGTTTACAAGGGTAGAGGGCGCAGGTGCGCTAGTTGGACTTTGCGACGTCAATCGTTGTTTTGGTTCTGACGCAGGGATTTTGGCGGAAGCGACTCGGCGAGTGAGGCATGGAATGGAATCCCAGCCTGAGAGGATAATGATAGATTGTTGGTGTGGATGGGACAAGTGGACAATGAATGCGCAAGGCAGTGTGGCGTGGATGGAGGAGGAGGACTTCAGTGGCTTGATAGAGGACAAGCGCAGGTTCCGATCGGTGCAGGGTGTTTAAGGTGTTTTGTTACCCTGTTAGTGTTGCGAGAAGTTTGTAGGTAGGGCGAAAAGAGGGATGAGAAAATAGACGGCTTGGTTTGACTGGCTTCCGGCAAAAGAGCGCACAGTCAAGGCCAGAGCGTGACTGGTCACGACCCAGTGAATCGCGTAATATCGTGCCGTATCACAACGCGTTTGAGTCGTGGGGTCTCTCTTTTTTTAATTTGTTTGGTCGTGGGATAATAGAGGGAAGAGCCTGTCACTACCACCCAGTCACTTTGTCATTCTTGAGAGGATTTTTGGGTTCCCTTTAGCAGTGCCTAATCATCATCACTACTTAACTAGGTGCCTAGACAGCGATTTTTCTTTAACTAAGAAATATTTCCTTGGTCACTTACCTTCCATAGGCACCCATTAGCTCCCTCTATTTACGACTTTAGGGGACTTCCAGGGCCAAGAGCTAGCAAAGGCACATGGCTCCCACGCTCTTGGGTAGCCTTAAGCAAGTCAGTCATCGCTTTTTCCGGATGGGTAAACAATCAAAAGCGCCAGGGTGTGGGAATATGCAGGGTGACAATGTCTTGTTTTAGAGTATTTTCATTCTCTCCTGCTGGGCCATTTGGATAATCCTTCGGTGTCTCTGTCTCTCCTTTTTCTCTTCCATCCCGAGGACAATATTCCTCCTCTCAGCCACTATCCTGTTTCTGTTCCCTTATCGAAGAATGTCGCATAACGCATAACAAGGGAACCAGATTCGCTTAACGCGCCTTGCCGATTGGCCCCAGCTCTGCATCCGCGTAAACACAATGACGTCCTTCTTGTTGCCACGATCTTGATCTTACCCGCCATTGCCGCTGTAATAATCAATACCGTATCTCATACCTCGTTAGTTACTGTATATCGAAGTCATGTGTCATTCATTCCTCATTGGCACAAGCACAAAATACAACTTGGGTCATTGATTGTAGTCAGAACCACTACTTATAGACATACCTCAATCTTTGACCGTCTCCCTCTATCCTTCTTCTTCTTCTTCTAGACTATGCATTACTCGCTGTCCATTCCAATCTTGCATTCTTGAGACACCTTCCTCCCTTTTCCGCATCTCTCCCTGCATTAGGGCCCACCCCGTGGTGCCCCTGAAACTTCGCATCTCCGCTGTCAGCCTTCCCGAGCACCACAAACGGCGCATAACAAAATACAAAACACAAATGAACATGAAAAAAAAAGGATGATCCATCCAACTAGGAAATGTCTCGGAGCCCCTGTCCATCATTCTCTTCTGCATATTCTCCGCCAACACCTTGCTGCTCAAAAAGGCACAAGAAACTGCTTTTGAACCCCCTCCCCCCCCCATATCAAAATAGACCCGGTAATGTTGCTTTTCAAAACTCGCAGCAATGTCCCGTCTCCCGAGTCATGAACGTCGTTATATGATGAAACCGATGCGGATTATGTCGTGTCAAATTTGAACCTACGCCAATTTGGAATCATGCCTCGACCAATTCAACTCCGTCAATGCCGTACCCAAAGTCAATGATAACCACCCGTGCATCTTGGCTCGTGCAGACAATCTTGCGGTAATCGCTCTTGGCCGCCAGTATCCAACTTGACGACCACCCCTCAAAATTGATCTTGAGCCCGCCGTCCTCGGCCGACTCACCCTTCTCTGCATCCCACACCTTGATCGAATGGTCGTAGCTGCCGCTGATGATGCGCGAGTTGGCCGAGTCGAGATGGAGCGACCGCACCAGATCTTTGTGCCCTTTCATCTCGCGGATCCGTTGGCCAGTGAGTGTGTCGTACTCGTAGATGACCCGGTCATTGCCGCCCGCAAAGATCGTTCGACCATTCTCTGAGAATTCTACGCAAGCAAGGCCTCGATCTTTAGACTGGAACTCCTTGATGCAGACCCCGTCTTCCAGACGCCACAACTTGGACATGCCGTCGCCGCTAGCGCTAGCCAAAAGATTCCCTCGGACTTGGACTGCATTGACAGGCCCACGATGTCCGAGAAGCGTTTTGACCAGTTTACCAGTCGAACGCTCCCAGATTTTGATCGTAGTGTCCTTGGAGCAAGTCACAATCCGCTCCTTGTCAATACAAACATCAAGGACCCCAGCGTGGTGGCCGATCAGTCGGAACATCGGTTTATAGTCCTCCTTGATCGACCACACTAGGCAGGAGAAATCCGAAGACCCTGTCACAAGGATCTCGTCGTCGTACTGCAGGCATAGCACCGATGCCTGGTGGTACATGGGAATCTCCGGTGAGGGTGGCGCTGGTGATGAAACGTAGGCTTTGAAGAACGGAACCACCCCTTCTGGTTCCGCTGGGGGGCTCTGGACCGACTGTCGTTCTCGGGGATTGTTTGGAGGCCCCAATTTGCGGATACACTGGTAGGTATGGGCATCCCACACACGAATTGTGTTATCGCGCGACCCGGTGATGATCTTCTGTTCATCGAATTGCGCGCAATAAACACTGTCTTTATGGCCGTTCAAATAGATTGCGGCGGCTTCTCCGTTGCGCCACCGCTTGTCAATCAGAGTCCGTACCTCGAGGAGCTTCCTGTAATCTTGCCCGGGCTTGTTTTTACCGATTCCGGCAAGACGCACGCCAGCACCTGGCAAGTCGTTTTTGGGCCCATACTCTCGCAGAAAGACTTCCCTCCAGACAGCTTGTGACTGACAAAGGTCGTGCCATTTGTGGGAAACAAGTGAAGCCTGGACAAGCGACTCCACGTCAAGGAATGAGAGGATCGATTCCACCAACTCTGTCGCAAGAACAGAGGCAGGGTCTCTGCAAATGACATGGACATTTGCCGGCGACGACCCGCGTCGGGCGCGGCTATCCAACACAATACCAATCCCACTTTCTGCGTCGTGCTCAGGCTTTTTGAGTTCTGACTCAGGAGGCTCATAGGGTGGTAGAGGGGGCGTCCTCGTGGCATGGAACAACTCGTTCTGAGCTGCAGCCGAAGCACGAGCTTCTGCGCCTCCGTGCACTAGATCCGACAGAACGGGAGGTCCTCGGAATCGCACAGATATTGGGTTTTCCAGGTCTGCTTGAAGCTCAGGAGAAGTGTAGAGGTTCAGTAATGGTAGAGAGGGTCTCCTCCGAGCACTAGGGTTTCGCAACAAGCGTCCACGAGACCTTGGTCTTGTGGGAATGGCCTCGACCAGATCCATCATGCCCACGCCTGGCTTCAGTGGCAACACTTGTGGTCCCTTGTTCTCTGCCACTTCCTCCTTTTGCTTAGAACTCCTCCCCCGAACTGTAAGCGACATTCGTCTCGTGAGAGAACGGATCTCGGAGATGCTGTGCTTAACGGACTGAGTAAAAGTCGAGTATCGTCGCGGCCGTGAGGGCTCGAGAATATGGTGTTCTCCAGAGAACTTTGCAAACGGATCGATAAACTCAGGGCCATTGTTTCCTTCACCTGCTTCCTCTTGGTTCCGATTGAAAGAACCCCAATCTAGCACATCGTGGGCGGCCGAGGTCATCATGAAAGACCTCCGAGTGGCAGGCCTTCGGAGAGATTCCTCAACCCCTGTTGAGCCCTCATAAGCCGTTTTCGGTCGACTTGGAATGAAGAGAGACGTCCTGCGCTGAGGAGCTATCGAAGCGGAAGGCCCATGGTAGGGCATGGCGGCGGTCAAACTGGAAGGTGGGAAGCAACAAACTCTGCGGAGGCGCCTGCCCAAAAGTGAGGGTGGTATATGCTGCCAGAGATGAAGGAATATTCCTCGTTGATAGTATTACAGGTTGGTCGGAAGTGAGCGAGCGATCTCATATATTCTGGTGTTGAGGACGGTGGCGAAAGGAGCGAACGAGGACAGACTGAACGGTAAAGCTCTCTGCTGACGGCAGACACATGAAGCAGTCATATGGAACGAGACTAGAAATAGCAGTGAGTGTTGGGTATGAAGTACAAGGAAGAAAGAGCGTGGATATGGTCAGTGAGTGGAATGGCTGGCCGAAAGACACAAAGCACAGGTAACAGATTTTAATTTTTGTTGATCCATCTTGACAATGGTCTGGGGGAGAGAGTGATGGCTTCACAGTGTTTTTGGTTGGACGAGTGGATAATTTTTCAAGGGCTTGGGGGTTTTCTAAGGACTGTGGAGCAAACTCCGGGTGATGGATTCGGTCAATAGGATGCGCAACAATGACAGACAGACCCGGCGAATGCGAAGCAGGGTGAGTGAGCCCCGTACCCCTGCCGAACCGTTCCATGCAGGGCACAATCCGGCCACCATTGGGCCATCACGTTGCCCCCGGAAACGTACCTAGATAGCTTAGCGGCACCTGTGCACTGCAGCAGGCTCAGCAAGCTCTCCTCGTAGGTGACTGGATTGCCCCCTGGACCGCCTGGAGCAGCTGGTGCAGGTCAGCCTTCAGCCCCAACTTCAGCAACCTCTGATCTCACACCGGTGTTTCAACCCTGGAACCGATGAAATTTCTTGGAGTTCCATCACACACATGGGTCTTGAGCGCTTACTTGCAATCTTTTCCGCTATCCACCAGCCTCCCCTCGTCTCCTCTCCTCACTCGTCCCCGTGGTTCGTCTCGCCAGCAGACTCCGCCTGGTGCCGCTGCCGAGGGTGCCATGCTGCTGCACGGCGAGTTGGCGATCCAGCTTTTTCATCTGTGGAGAGCTTCTCGCCCACTAATCATGCTTTGCATTTCGATCGTCAATGACATCTCGACTCGTATCCTGGACGACTTAGGATATCAAAGAAGAGAAGGACAATCCCTGGCCATCTTCATCTTACAAGAACGCCTGGCTATATTCGGAGGAGATATCTCTACCTTGAGTCATTTCTCGTGTGACCGTTCTTTGACCAGGGACCTCTTCAGCAGTTTCGCTGGCACTTGAGACGAAACGTCACACGCGACACAACCGCAACAGCAACAATGGGGACCATTCCTTTGCCATATATCATCTTTTTCCTATGGATCGAACCTGTTGCAACACTGGCCGGAGCATACTATGCCTGGCTACTACCATGGGCCTATCTCGAGATGACTGACGTTGCCTCCGCTCCTGGGGTTCTTGGTCTGCCCACGGCCACCCATGTCGTACTTCGACAACTCGGCAATCTGTATGTCGCATTTGCCATCAATGAAGCCTTTGTCTTGCGCGCAACAACCGACCTGAAAGTCTGGCGTACATTATTGATAGGCCTTCTTATCGCGGACTTTGGTCACTTGTACAGCTGTTTCCCGCTTGGAGTCAAGTCATACTACGATGTCGCGAACTGGAATGCCATGGCGTATGGGAATTACCTATTTGTCTATTGCGGGGCAGCGACGAGAATATGCTTTCTCCTGGGTGTCGGCATGGGAGGACCCAAGCGAGCGAAGAGCAAGGTCAAGAAGTCGGTCAGGTTGGCCCTTGAAGAAGCTCCTCCCGTCACGCCTACGCAGATGAACAAAACCCCTGCTCAGAGCACGAGGAGGAGGAAGAACAAGTCTAGCTAGACCAGTTGAAGGCGGAACGCGATACCCGGGCTTTTCCCCTCAATACGACACCACGACAGTGTCGGGGTCGTCCATTCGATGGTGAATTCAATTTATTTCCGGCCGCGACATATGATAGCAAAGTTTTGTTTTTGCTACTGCCATCCTCCTGCTTCTCGCGCGATAAGTGGCTATGTGGCTAGGAAATTAAGACATGGCCACAGCATCAGCGGAACACCGCAGAATTCCACAACACGTCGCTGGACTGCTTCTCCAGGCACATCGCCTAGTTTGCATTTCGGCTGACGGGCTGCTACCTCGCGTCTCGGTGTCCCTGATGATGTCTATTGTTCGTGGCTATACAATCGCGATGCTGGACAATGTATGCCCAAATCAAAGCCGAAGGGGTCCAGACACATAGTGGACAAGACAAGGCTCAGGGACGAGCAAGGATGACAAGGGTATTGACAATATCGCAAGATGTTGTATGGTTGGAATTGGGGTCGAGGTCCAGCCTCTGCTTGAGCCTCCTACCCAACGTACTGTGCTCTTGGATCATTGGTCAACGGAATTGGATCCGCGTAGCGCTGGGAGACTTGAAGCAACGAATGGAAGCGAAGAACGGTCTTGGGGATATGTGGATACGGATGGGACAAGACGAAGTCAGTGGGCGCACAGAGGGGGTAAATACAGGGAATCCAGTGCTAGGCATGGGACAGACCACCAAAACAGAGACGATGAGAAGGGACACATGAAAAACAAACCGCGAGCGGGACAGGGAAAGAGAATTTCAATTCGGTTCTGCAAGAAGGAGGTTATCAGAATGTTCTTGCGCGCACAATCACAACCGACAAACGGACTCGGGGATGAAAATGGAAAATAAGCCAGGGCCGAGATTGGGAAAGAGGGCTATGTACCTCGTATGTATGTATGTACTGTTGAAAAGCCTCATCGACGTCCCTAGGATACATTAAATAAATTCAGCCAGGCAATTTACCCACATGGCAAGGGTGAGCTCAAAAGTACTGACAAAATACGTACTCGATAGTTCCATCTCCTTTTACCTCGTCCAGAAAAAACCGAATGAATGAATGAATGTACTCCGGATACCGAGTGTATCTATACCATGGTGCCAATCAAGATCACGAACACGAACGACAGACAAATAATTAGAGGGGAGGGGGAATACCGTCCTACTTGTATAAAACCAAAGTGCATTTTCGACTTTGCTATTAATTGCTAATACAAGTTGTATCTGCATGGAAAGGTGATTGACTGGCAGACTGGCTTGCTGGCTCGCTGGCTCGTTGGCTGTAGATCGAAAAGCGCATCATCCTGAGCTTGACTCTGACTCTGACTACTGCTACCTAGTGTGATTGTACGTATGTACTCACTCTCCGTGATCATAATCATCCATACTGGTGGTACTGGGGGCACTGCATTGCACATTGCACATTCGATTACCTCGTCCATCCGTTTCCTTCTTTCTCACCTATTTTTTTGTTTAAAAAAAAAGAATCATGTTCGACACATCCCGGCCGTTTTGTCATCGATTGCTCCCTCTTCACACACATGGCGCATGGTACGTGGAGCTGCTATGCAGCGGCCACTGCCACCACGGCCAAGTGCTTTCCTCCCGTTTTCTCCACAGGCACGTCCCATATACCTTGCGGGCGGGCCCCGAGTTCGGGATCCTCCCTCTTCCCGTGACAGGCGCAACCTCTCACGCTCTCGTACAGCTCTGTCAATTCGCGGTCCTGCTCGCCGCCCATGATCTCTCTGACATCGACGTCGGCCGGCAACTGAGGCGGCGTCACTGGCTCCACCTTGGCCTCATCCTCTTCGTCGGACGAGGAGTCGGAGCGGACCATCCGTGGCGGGTGTGCCGTGGCGGAAGCGAAGCGCGTCAGGGACAAGTCGTTCATTTCGTCGTCGAGTTCATCGTCGGCGAGCTCGAGTGCTGCGTCTTCCTCGTCTGAATATGCGTCGTGCACCGGTCTATGTTTCGACGCCGGCTTTTCTGGCTCTGTCTCCGGGACAGCCGCGGTACAGTCATAGTGGTACGATTCGGGGTCGTCGTAGTCGTCCGAGGACGTGTCATCGTCGTCCTGCTCTTCATCGAGATACTTGTGCTGCGCGAAGGTAGGTGGCGGAGATCGCTTGCGCGCCGGTGAAGGAGTGCCACTGGCCCGGTTGCTAGATGCCACACCTGCTGTGCTGGACGGTCGGGCGTTGTTGTCGTGAAAACTAATCCTGCGACCCCTCGCCTCGGGCTCTGGCGATGCTGGCTTCGCCGCTGTGCAGTCGTAATGAGGGTCAGGTTCCGGGACCATTGGCTGTGATGCCGTGCAGTCATAGTGTTCCCCTCCATGGTCGCTCGGCGGCTTCCCTTCCTGAAAAATGGATTTGGCATTCTGATTCTCTATCTCGACTATCCGCACCATAAGATTGTCCAGTGTGAAGGCATGGCCAAGGACAAATCGCAAGTTCCGGTCAGGACGGTTTGCAGCGAGTTTCAGCTTGCACTGGGCGGTGTGGGCGAGGGTGTAGGTAGTGCTTGTGGCCAGCTGCCGCGGTGACATTGTCGTTGGTATCCAAATAGTTTGGAGCGAGCCTGAGGTTCGCGAGAGTGACAAAGAGGTACCGCCCAGGTGATCGAGAGATAATGAGAGACAGCACCGAGGCTCAAACAAGGCTGACGGGAGCCAGGTGAAGGTCTGATTTCCAATTCGACCGAATGACTCCTTTGTTCTGGGTTCACTAATCGATAAGAGGGATTTTCAGTTTCTGGAATGCGCGCCGAAGTTGCAAATGGTTCGCCTTCCGACGTCAGAGACAATCACTGATAGAAGTCGAGGCCAAAACTCGTCCGAGGTATATGTCGAGTCACAGAGTCACAGTGTCAAAGACGTTGTCTCCGGAATACGCGATAGTGACGGTATATTTGCTGGTCGTCGGTTGGGTTGACAATCAGGACGAGGGGACGCAGGCAATGGTAGAGGGTGGAGCGGGTTGGCGGGGTCCTGCTGACAAACAGGAGCGGGAGTCGCTGACGAATTGGCAGCGCAGCCAGACACTTTTGGCCTTGGCATCGTAGTTCGTCTTTCCTCTTTTGGCAAATCCGCAGGTGACTTCAGCTGGCAGGTCACATGCGTTGTATCTTTGTCCGCAGTTAGTGGTGGAAGCATCCAAAATATCACAAATCCTGGTGGATGGAGTTGAGAAACCTTGATTGGAGATCTAACTGTCATCTGCTCTATGCTCCGTTCATCGTACTTGCAGGTACCTCCTCAGCCCAGCCATGCTCCGTGCCCGGGTTGGGATACCCAGTCCTATCTGCTGTTACATTAAACACATTCTCCCTCTATTCAGCCGCCCCACGGCTGAACAGGGTCCAAGACGAAATGCATACATCCCGTATCTTCGTATTGTACAGATGGGTCGCAGGGAATTTTCGCCGCGTAAAAGGATTGCAAAATGCAGTCGTAGACAAACGGTAATATGAAACTGCCGTGATGTAAGATATGCTTTGAATCTCTTCGTGTCCAAATAGGAGGGGATCCTCGAGCCAAAAAATCCCTGCACAGCCTCCGTAAGACAAAACTCCATGTTTAGACCACGATGGCTTTTCTGGATGCTCGTGCCTTTGGATTGAGCGACTTCTTCTTTTGTTTGGGCTTGACCTCACCGCCCTCAATGTATCTCAGAAGCTCGTCGATGCTTCTGGTGTCAAAAGCAGGATCACCCGTTCCAGTGCGTACACTCGGCTGTGCTGTACTCGCCCTAGAGCTCGTGTTCAGCGCGGCCGTGCTCGCATTCTGCGGCTGGAGCCTTGTGCCCATGCCCATCCTCGGCAGGTGTCGGATGCCTGCCAGACGGCGGTTCTGCAGCAACTTAGCCTGTTTGGCAATGGACACTGCATTCTGCGTCAATTGTTCTAGCCAGCTCTCGGCCTCTTTCGTGTTGCGGTCGTTTGCACCAAGTTCTGCCAAAAAGATGCTATATGCATCTCGCATCTTGTTAACAGCGCCATGCGGGTCTCCATCCAGAGCCAAGGCCTGTGCCAACTGGAACAGTATGGTTGCCGCGTTGATGGATTGGCGTCCAAACAAACCCTCGCAGACGACGAAGCAAGCTTCAAACCACTTGCGGGACTCGGAATACTCTTTGATCGATTGGAGCATGACAGCCGCGTTATTCATTGTCGTTATGGAGTCTGGATGATTCGGTCCGAAGATAATCCTCCATATATCCAGAGCATGCCGGACATATTTCAAGGCTTGTCTCGTGTTGCCGGTGTGATGCTCGAAAAGAGAGAGATTGAGATATGCCAGGATGGTGTCGTGAGAGTCTACGCCCAATGTCCGTTCAGTGACAATCACTGCTTTGCGCGCGAGCTCTACGGCCGCGTCCTTCTCGTCTGTTTGATAGTAGATTGTCGACAGTGAGTTGTACATCTTGGCCACCTCAGGGTGAAGAATGCCATAAATTTGCTCATGCAGCGAGAGAGACTCGAGGACAAGCTCTTGCCCAAGTTGCTTCTGGCCCTGTGCTAGCGAAAGCTTGCCGGCTTCCAAAGCTTCTTCGGCCAAAGCACTCCTTGGAGCGGCGTCTTTGACAATGGGGGCTATGTTGAGGATATCTTCGGCAGTGAATGTTGTGGAAGGTTTGGCAACACCACCATTCGATTGGGCTTGTTCACCACCCTTCTTTTTCTTCTTTTTGCTGCCCTCATCTGCCTGGGCACCATTGTTGGAGTGCGAGTCACTGCCACTTCTAGCAGGCGATGGGTCCACGAGCATTTGCACCTCTTTGCTGAAGGAGTATTCCCGTGCAGCGAGCTGGAGGCCAAGTCTTAACGAGATTTCTCGGAGCATCGGCAACGGTCGGATTGATGTTGACCAATCCTCCTTCAATGCATACCTATACCGAATTCTGACCTGTTTTTCGATGGCCGCCTTCAGCTTTGTGGGATTAATCTCCTCAAATGAAAAGTCACCCTCCGGATATAGACCTCGCAGGTCTTCGTCAATTTCGGCGCGCGGATTTGAATTGACCTCCGTACCGAGGAGGCAGTTCAACAGATGCGCGATGCAGGTGCCGGCGAAGATGACGGGAAGATGGCGCAAGTAGCGGTTCGCAATGTGTTTGAATGCTCGAGCCACCATTTCCTGCAACACCACCGTCGAAAATGCCTGTAGGCGCTGTCCCTTTTCCTCAGCAGCTTTTGCAAGTCGTCCCAAATACCTGATGTTGATTCCCCGTTTGTGGATAAGCTGACAGAGAGAGTACCCATCCATCGGAAAGCCGACGTCGCCGTCGTGGAGGTCGTTGATGAGGTCTGGAATGACTTTGGACCGTAGAAAGTCACACACCGCCCGAACCTCCTTTTCGTCAGCGGCGTACTCCTGCTTTTCTTCCTCGGTCTGGGGTACCTGACCGGTACAGGCGTCGGGGTTCAGAGCCAGGGTGAAGTTCGAAATGTCAACACGTTCCTGCTCCAGCGCCGGAGCAGCTTTGCCAGCTTCATCTTGAGCTTCAACGGACTTAACATCACTGCTTTCTCCTGCAGGGTTGCCATTATCGTTTTGGCCTTCTTCATCCTTTTTGGACTCCTCAGAATGTCCGTTGCTCTGCTTTGAGCGCCGTTTTTCCACTTCAGCCCTCACAAACTCCTGCATTTTTATGTGCCAATAGGTTTCCACAAGCTCTAGTCGCAGGACAGACATCCGATGAGGATACTTTTCGTCCCCTGTGTCAGCTTCAATCTCCTCCGCCCAAGCCACATCCAGAGGAGTGATGCGGTAGAGATCAAGCACATATTTTCGGCCGTCCGTACCCAACAATCCTTTGGTTTCAACACTCCCTTCCAGGTCGTGTCGACCGCCTTCCTTGTCCCAGACAGGATGCTTCTTGACATGTAATGCCTTGGAGAGCTTCTGGAAGACTGGGACAAATGCCTCATTCTCAGTCACAATGTCTCGGCCCTCGACACCCCCGTAGTCAATTTGATGTTCTCCGGGTTCCCGTTGCTTGAAAATCCCGGGAACAATGCTCTGGCCAACAATGCGCTTGCCAAGGTAATCCACGATGACCGTCCCTGGGGTGAATAGGCCGTCGATATCCAGCTGATTCACCGCTTTGACACCCGCAACGTCTTTCCCAACTGCCACTCTGGCAGCCTCATCTCCACCCTCACTTGCGAATGTCTGCACTCCGTCGGCCCCAAAAGAGTAGAATATGTTGTTGTAGATGAAAATTTGGGCATCCCTGCCTTCAGTTGGATTCAGCGGAGCAACTTCGCCTCGGGCGACCAGCACGGCGCCTCTTGCTGCGGCTTCATTGTAGTCGGCAAACAGTTTCGAGGTCAATCGCTCGCGGAAGACTCGGTCTTGTAACGTCTCTCTGGGTAGTTCACGGGTGGTCTGAAACTCTTCATTCCAATCCCGAAGGTTCTCCGCTCCGTCCGCTCCTCCAATCAGATAGGCCTCCTGGGCTCTGGTGGGATCTGCTTGATGTTGAGCTCCCTGACCATAAGAAGACGGAACAATCCAGGGATTCGCGGGTATTGCGTTCTGGAAGGGGAACGTCGTAAGAAGGTCCTTGCTGCCGGTTATCTTGTGGAGTTCAGTAAAGGTCTCCGTGAAAGACGGCGACAGGGCGGATATCAGGGTCAGCAAAGAGTGTGCACTGTGATTCTTAGGGGCAGGCCTCGGGAAAGGATCAAATTTGTTGCTGGAGGACTTGTTCACATAGAAGCCAGAGACAGTACAAGTAATCTGGTGCTGCTCGCCTTCGTTGGTGGTCAGCAGTAAGTAGAGCAAGTGTCCCCGCTGGCGGAGGTGATATGGCGGAGGGTTCCATGGTGAGACCGAGAGAGACTTGATGGTCTTCGGCAAGGTGTCCTGGTAAGGCGGTAAGATCGCATCAAGGGACGCCCGTCCATCCAGCTCATAACCCGCCAAGGGATTATCTTCGGTTTTCTGAGCAGGAGCATTGGCTGAGCCAAACTTTTCATCGTGGAGAGACAATCCGGCGCAGATACCATGAAGCTGGTCGGAACGATCACCAGTGGCGCCAATGAGCTCCCGTATGCGGACTACGTGCAACCTCGCCTCTTTCTCGGTATAAGGATCTTCGACCAGCACAATTTCATCGTCTGGCTTGAGGTCCTTCACCTCCGAGAGCTCGACAAAATCATTTATCCTCTGGCCATTGTGCTCGAGATGGAAACAGGTATATTGGAAGGTGTCTAGAGTCTCGACGATGGACTGACGAACATCCTGCACCTGCTCTTGACTGGTCACCGTTATCGTCTGCTTGTAAGGCTTGTGCGGCAGCTTAACGGTGACTTGGAACAGTGCACCGGCATTGGCATCATCGTGACGAGAGTGGTCGTGGTCATGGTCATGGGGTTGTGTATGGCTGTGTGCGTGATCGTGCGAGTCACCATTGACCCCGTTGACTCCGTTTGTGAGGGCAGAAGCTGTTTCAGCTTTGGTCGGGACCTCTGTTACATCTGTTAGTTAATTGACCAAAATATCGATGATCAACCAAGCCACAACATACCTTGTGTTGTCCTCACGTCACCATTGGAATCGTCCATTAGGAATCACCTTGGGGGGCGAATGCAACACCACGGGTACTGTACAGTCAAGAGCAATGCTAAGGAGTGTAAAGTCAGATATGGAAGATCTGACGAAGAAAGAATGAAGGAATATATTTTACAAGAAAGGTGATGCCAGGTGAAAAATTAATGTACAGCAAAGAAACTGTGACGGGTGCAGAAGGTCTGTTTGGGGAGAAGATGGACAATAAATTTTTTGAAATGAGTATCGACACCACAATTAATCGCCGCGATGCCGGTGTTCCAATTGGATGGCGAGGACAGTCAAGGGCTCGGAGGACAGGAAGCTGCCCCGGGCATTTGCTCGAGCTGCTCGGGTTACGCCGGGTGTTGATGGTTGGTTGGTAGCTTAAGCCGCGGCGCCTTGTTTGGCATTAGGGGTGGTTAGGAGTGCTAGCAAGGCCGGGAGCACCCAGGCTTACCAGGCTCGGGGTCATGTTCGGCTGCCAGAGAAGCCCTCCAAAGGTGAAAAGGCCGCATGTTGCAGGGGGGGCCACTAAGGCCACTACCTACCTACTTGTGCCTAGGTCCCGGGCCTCCAGGGCCCCACTAGGCTTCCTAGCGCATTCCGAGTCCATGCAGCCCGGCACGATGCGAATTTGGCTGTCACGCGACTTGGGCATGTTTTACTGGCACGTTGAGTAACCCTTTTAACAGTTGGAGAAGATGATGACTACCCTGGAAGTTCATCTAGTCCTTGTTCCGGTAAGGGTACAAGTCCTACCTAATGTGAGTGACATATAAAAAGGGGGTTGCGGAGAAAAACAAAACAGCAACAACGTTGAGCAACAGTACGAGGTATAACTATTCCACCCAAGTCAAAGAGCAAGATAGCTATGCATGTACAGGCATTCACCCCGAGTATGTGCGAGGTATCTCCTTGTACCTTGTACTGTACCTAATAGGACCTAGGTAGGTACCAAGAACAAGGCAAGGATGAAGATCAACACAACCCCAATCAAACGAACTTGTCCATCCTGCTGAGCACGTGCGTGGAAAGTCTGGCATCAAGCCACAGCCACTCACTCTCTGCCACTACGATATCCGCCCCTTAAACTTCTTTACCCTGTGCTTGTCCCTTACTCTTTGGCACGTTTTTTTGGCTCTAGAAAGTCACTCTTTACCATTTCATTTCGATCGCTCATTCATCAAGTTTTCGCGGTGTGCCTGGGGGTTTTGTCCATTGCGCGTGGTCGTCTAATTTCCCTTCCCCACCACAGACGCGAGATCAGACGCGTACGAGAGTATTGCTTGTATGACCTTGGATGCGCCGCGGCCCCGGTCCCTAGAAATCCTGCTGGTTCAGGCGCATAGCTCCCCATCATGAGGAACTTACAAAGATTGGTGGTCGCCAGACCTGTACATGTCTCTTCATCTTTCAGACGTCGTATTCTCGCTTCCAGGCGGGCGACTTCGCGCGCCTTTGCCCAACAATTCGGCCCGACGAGCAACTTCCCAGGTACCGACCAAGATGATGATGAACGACCAAAGACGTCGAAATCGGGACCAGAACCGAAAAGTCGTCTAGGACCTACCGCGTCCAGGGCTTTTGAGGCGGCGATGACCACCTTTGCATCGATCGCCGTTCTTGGTCTCGCGGGTTACTCGTATCACGTCTACTACAAAGCTCTGGTGCTGCGCAAGATAGAAAAAGCCTTTGCGCCTGGCGACCCGATGCTCGAACTTGCATCACCAGCCGATTCCCGCACTCCTCCTCGAGAGCAGTCGGCCGACGAAACGGATCATTGGATCCCCCGGCCCGAGCAGGCGAGGATCAATGCCATCATTAACGGGGAATCAAAAGGCAGATATTATCTCCTTGTTGGTGAGAAGGGCACAGGAAAGTCATCGATGCTGCTGGAAGCAATGAAGGAGAGGAATGGGGAGGGTGTCTCAATGTTTGAAGCTCACGCCGATCCTGAAATCTTCCGCATCAGACTGGGGAAGGCCTTGAACTATGAGTTTCACGAAGACTATATCGGGTCCTTGTTTTCGATACGCGGTCCACGAGACACCACCGCGCTGCTTGACATAGAACGAGCCTTCAACAAGCTTGAGAAGGTTGCTTTGGCAAACAGGAACCGAATCAGCAAGCCAGGCCGGACAGGACCTCTCATTCTGATCGTCAACTGCGCGCACTTGATCCGCGATAATGACGTCGGGAACGATCTGATCGAATTGATGCAGCAGCGGGCAGAACAGTGGGCTGCAGCAAATCTCATCACCATGATCTTCAATTCTGACGATTACTGGGTCTATGAACGTCTCCGGCGGTATGCCACGAGAATGGAGGTGATCCCCATTCTGGATCTCCCCAAGGATCGCGCCATCGCCGCACTGGAAAGATATCGCGGCAAATACTTTCCAGAGCAGGAACGGGATCCCGAGATTCTCAAGCAAGTCTACGAACTGGTGGGCGGGCGGCTCAATTTTCTGAATCGGGTCGCCAAAAGCACCGACATGTTGAAAATGTGTCGACAGATCAACGAAGCGGAGAAGACGTGGTTTTTGAACAAATGTGGTATCCTGGGTGAGGAAATGGACGACGACGTAATGGACCAACAGAAATATGCAAGCGCGGCCATGGTTCTGGCAAAGGCGCTGGTGGATCGAGAAAAGGACATGGAATCGAGCTACGATGAAGAGCATGGCCATATTCTGCCACAGATTCCTCTCTATATTGCTCGTCAGATCATGACCCGGGCGGACTTCATTCAAACCTACGACCACGACAATATCTTCACCATCGACAGCAGTGCCATGGTCCGCGCAGACAGCGTGCCTATGATGAACGCATTCAAAGAAATTTGTGCAGAACCTGGGTTTGACGACTACCTGGAGGCCACCCTTGACCGGATCTCGGCGATTGAAAGCATTAACAGGACCAAGGAACTAACCTTTAAAGATTTATGGATTGAACAAAAAGGAGAACAAAGGGGCAAATACTCATTTGTGACAAAAGATGCTCGGGGCCGGGAGACGGGCACCATTGAGATGAGAGTACATCCAGATAATCCACCTGAAGAAGACGATGATTAAGAGTATGAAAGAGTTGAATCATGCACCCTGACCTATTACCTTACCTTCCTCTCCTGGCCTCCAGGATCTCTGACACCTACCACTCGTCATTTCAGATCCAGGCATGTCATGCACTGTCGAACCATACCTCGAGGCCAAGTCCCAGAGCCATCGTAGTCCTGGCCATCCCAGGTTTGAACTAGCCTGGTGTAGTGCATACCGCAACCTGGGCAGTTATTCCTGTTTTCGTGGTGATGGTCGACCCACCTTTTCAATCCTCCAGAGTTTCGATCTTGGCTGCGATCGCGCGCGAAGACTCGCCCCTGGGCTTCCAGAGTTATCAAGTTGTCGCGGGCAGACAGGGCGCATGTTTCTAGCAGTGTTTTTCTGCACCTTGCACACTGCCATTCGGAATCTGGTTGATCAAGAACATCCTCATAAGATGTGTGACTACATTGACATCGCGACCCAGCTGGGACTCTGTGGGTTCGATGGAAGTTTTGGCTGCAGGGCAGGCAGTAATAGAGTTCATTGACAGCATTCCTGTCGGGACCATGGGCCAATTGGGCGAACATGGCACAGTACATACAAAGGAGCTTGTCACAGCCAGAGAAACGGCCTGCGCTTCGGGAACCCATGCCATGGCAGGGCTTGACAACCAGGCTGCTCGAAGGGGTGCCGCAATCGTCGCACGCAATTGCCTGCAAACCTGTGAAATAGCGCTCTTTGGTATCTGGTTCGAGACGGTCATAGGGATATGGTCTGAACACTTGGGCAATGGTCGTGCAAACCATGCGGAGTCGGGTGTAGTCGTATCTATCAAGACCACCGGCTTCGCGCAAACCGTCTGCGAATGGTGCGACTTGAGTGAAAACGCTGAGGAAGTTTAGCTTCGGTCTCACATGACTTGGGTACTCACCTGGATTGTTGGGTGGGCTCCTCAATGCTTTGAACGGGTCTTCAAGGTATTCATTACCTGGGATTTCCTTAGTGTAGCCGAACATTGTGATATCACTGTCACAGTCAGCCATATTCGGTATTTTCCTTTTCTTTTCCGTTTCTTCCAAATGCTCGAAAACGGGGCTATGAGGCAACGATTGAGATAGACCTCCTCAGAGAATATGTACGTCTCCTAGGAGCATTATTGATCGTCTGTCAGACAATGTGACCGGCAACCAAAGGCACAATGGCATTGTACGTGGCTCGCTCGACACAAAACCACGGTGGAGGCACAAAGGGTCGCTTCGTATGCCATAGTCTCGGTTGGGAGCCAGACGTGGCCGATGATGGTAAAACGTTTTTGTTGGGTAGAGTAGAACAAGGTGTTTTCTTAGAGCAATGCGATATTCGAGAACAAAGTCTTCTTTGTTCGCCCTTTGGAACTCTCCGCCGGGATCGTCCGGTGGATAAAGGTCTCCTCCTGATTCTTTGAGTCAAGTTGCTTGGTTGCTTTGGAGCTGACGCTGTGCGGCTTCGATTTCCGCAGGTGCAGGTGTCGAGGTGCGTTGGTGACGTTTGGCGCAGTTTCAACCCTTGAACCAATCACGTCACGATCGCGAAACTGGGTTGTTTTGTTCCGTCTTCTCACCACACACCACCACCACAAGCACCATCGCCTTCTCCAGCCACTGATTTTCTCAGTTCTCGATTCCAAGACAGTCCTCTCCTTCCACCGACAAGAGTCATATTCCAGATCTCCTAATTCTTTCGTGTCACTGTCTGGGAAGACCATCTTGATGCTGGGGGATCTTCTCGAACTGACCACCACTCTCGTGCATCCAGAGCACGAGCCAAACCTTTCCAGCCTCGCCGGTCGCAGCGCAGCCAGCTCGACCATGGCCCCTCCACGAAGCCGCCATGCGAAATCATCGAGTGTCGGGTCCACGAGCAGCGCGGCCGATGTCGCAAATGGCATTGCCACAACTCCAAGCTCCAAATCCGACCCTTCCACCATCGTGGCGCGCAAACGACGTCCCTCCCGCCCGACCGTGTCGTCTGATGGCTCACCTGTCGTGATCATCCCCAAACCCTCACCGAGAAGGGATCTTGATAGCACTTCAAAGTCCAATCTCTCACAACGCAAAGAATTTGAGCCATTGAAATTGGCTGCCACTGTGGTGTTGAGCACCGTGTTGGAGTCAGGGTTACAGAGCGCGGCGTCAATGGTCGGAGTGGGCGACCTTGCAGCAGTTTCAAGACGGCCCGATACATGGACTGAGATTCTGGGATTGCTGGGCTGGAAAATAACCAAATTGGGCATGTATTGGGTTGGCGACTTTGACGGTAAGTCCTCGCATCACATTTGTATCCTCAAGTCTCTGGTCAAAATTGATTAATCACGTCGATCTCCAGCGTACGATGTCGCGTCCCTTTCCCTCTTGCTCAACACCCCGCCCGCCATTCTTTTGGGCCTCTTTTACGAGATATCTCCCATAACGCTGGCGTCTACGACTCTCTCTTCAATGATCGGCAATGCCCTTCCATACTATCTACTCCGCCCTTTGGCTCCCTCACACCATCCGAACAGCGCACCAAAATCCAGTCTTCGAAACCGTCCGATCCTAACCGATCCATACACCACCGTTGCGACATCTCTTCTTGCGACAGCCATCTTTGCGGTGCTACTTGAAGCCAGTTTCGCAACTTTCCTCCCCACTTGGCTGGTTGTCTATTTCACGGGACTGAGGACGCTGGAACCTGCACACTTGGGTCCTGCTGGACTCCCTACGCTCCTGCTAGCCCTGATTCCGGCTGGGTGGGCGTGCATGGAGTTCCTCTTCGCGCCATCGACAGCTGCAGACACAGTTGTGAACGCAGGTCCAGCTTTTGATCCGTCCACCGCAACTTTCTGGGAGCACGCCTACCACAACGTGTGGGGATGGTATTCGGCACGTCAGAAGGAGCTGATTGGCCGCACCGGATTGTTGACCGGACTGATGTTTGCGGAGATCGTATTGACACTATGGGGGACATTGGCGGGAGTAGAAGTCACAGGGGCGCTGGGCTATGCTGGCATTTGGGGTCTGGGGTGTGTGGTTATAGGAGGTGTATTGGATTGGGTCGGAGGGCCAAGTGATTGATTTTCCAGGGAGTTTTGCCCGCTGCCTGGTCAGCGAGGCTGTGTTGGCGCTCCGGGGGTGGGGGGGAGACCTGCCTCGAGTTTGCCCTCGTTTTGAAAGCAGGGTTGTTGTCTTTGGTCCAACTTTCTGGTGCGGCCGACCACCAACAACACATAAGCAGAGAATCCAACGAGGGATATATAATTTTCTATTTCATCAAACACGTGCCAATCTCGACCATGGTATGAGTCACTCACACTCATACTCACATATACATATCCACAGGGCAGAGGCACAGCACGCGAGGGGCCGGCTGAGAGATCTAGTCACATGATTGATTGACTGACTGACTGACTTACCAACTGGCCGTCGCGAAGATTCTGGCACATGTAACGAGTGATAGGTGGTGGATGGACACTGACAAAGATCCTCGTGGGAAAGCAAAGATGCACATCGTGGCTTTTTCTTCGAATAACACTTAACAAAAACCTCGTGTTTCAGAGGTCAGGTAACCTGTACCTATACCTGTACATGTACTCGGTACGTACATCAGTACATACAAAGATACAGTACCTCTTCCTTGTACGAAGTGATATGATATAAAAGCAGTTTTGATGGGTACCTACCTCCCTATGTACCTATCTAGGTATGTAGGGAGGATTCATTCATGGGTAACAAACACGTCGTATTAAGACAGCTAACAATCTCATTTCCAAACGAGCGACCGAGCGTCGAGCAATAATTGAACCCATGCCTCGGACGACTCTTAACGATAATGATTTGGCTATTCCCCCCCTCGGTACACTTCACTCACTCTGCCCTGATATCCTCCGCTTCGTTGACGCCTCAGGTTTAAAAAAGGCTGTAGAACCGGTCGCTGAATCTCGGGCGTCAATGGACCTGTCCCTTTCATCTCACCGTGCACAAGTAGGATTTCGTCTCGCGGGCATTGATAAGGACACCAGGTTTGCTTCCCACCGATTGTTACCACTGGGTATCGCCATTTGACGAGCCGAAACCAGCGTCCCCCTCTCCAATTTTTCCTTGACTCTAGATATTGCCGAGCTTAGAGGCCGCGATTCCACATTTCCTGGGCTTGTGCCTCTTGTGCATTGGTCATATCATCATGTTTCATTTTCATGCAAGATCCTCAGCACGTTGAAATGCTCCCTAAATAAGCTCGTGAGTCTCACGGACGCCGAAATCTTGCCCTGATGTGATTCCGTTCCTTGACCGTACCCTGTCGATGCAACCGGTTTTCCAAGAAAAAGGAGCCCCCCCAACGATCACTCTGCCGTTCCGCAAACATGAAGAAAATAATAATAAAAAGAGACAGTGGGATCATGTAGATGCCTCGGTATTTCTCCTCTCGCGTGTCCTGCTTCGTCCTCCTTTGATACTCTTGACTCGACTAAGGAACCCAGCAGCGGCAGACTTGGTTTCCTCAGGCGGCGGACCGTTGCTCTCAGAGGTCAATTTTCTTTCGAGGGTTAGTCCACCTCGTTTCGGGCTCGACGGTGCTCGAGCACGCCCAGTGTTCTTTGCTTGTTCTTCGGCAAATGCGATTTGAGCACCTTTCTTCTCATGTTCTTTGTCATAGTCCTTGAAGAACGGATTCCCGCCGTTCTGCTCCGATTTGCTCGTCCCCATTGGGGAAGTCGGAGTTACTGCCGGCTCAGGCGAAGTCATGCGACCCCCATCGGCGATTTTAGGACGCACGGATTTGATTCTTTGTGCCAGACTCTTTTTACGCGATAGTCCCGCGGCGTTTGCCTGTTCCGCAGCTTCTTGCTCACTTTCGCGGCGCTGGATTGCTGCTCGACTAGCAGGCGCACCTTCTAGGAATGTGCTCGTTCCAAGACCAGCCGTCTCGCTGCCATGCAAAGGTTCGGCTTTGGCGGTGGGATTGAAGCTGGCACTTCTCTCTGGTTGTGGTCTTCGGAAATAGTCTGCGTCCTCTTCGTAGATTGCCGCATCGTTATAATCAAGATTTGCCTCTCGTCCAGTGCCGTGATACTGGTCCAGGTTGAGTTTGGTATTGACCGGGCCAGAGCCACCAAGTTGCATGTTTAATGAGTCCTTTGGGAATGCTTGCATCGGCGCCTGCCTGGAGCCCTTGCGGTTGCGATGGGGATTACATGCGTCAAATGGGCCATCGTGATGGAATACTGCAAAAGTCAGCATAGATCCAGTAAACACGGGTTGCCAACCTACAGCCGGTGCCATAGATACTAGTGACATCCAATTTATCAATGATGTCCAATCTTGCATTTGGCTTCTTAGATCTGTGCGAGCCTTTCCCCTCGCGCAATCTTCTTTCTCGTCTCCTTCTTTCCGCTTCGGGATCCAGATCTTTTGGTTTCTCTCGGATAGAAGATTCTGAGTTGCGTCGAGGAGGCGGACGCCTTTCGCGCGGACGGTTCAGCTCGGGCGGGTCTGCAAAGATGTCAAGTTCCTGTGGAGGACCAGGAGGTTTCCCCTGTTGTCGCCGACGCTCTTCATCCGATTTAGTGGGCCCATGGCGTGTCGAAGGACCGCGAGAGGGATGTGGTCTGGGTGCGATGTTTTCCCGTCGTGTGGCGCCATTTGCATGAGATTGCGGTGGCTTTGCAGGTTCCTTTATATCGAGAGTCGCCTGCTCACCTGGTCAGAACAAGCACATGACCACAAAAACAATGTAGCTTACAAATATATCTGCAGTCTTGTCGGTAACATCAGACCGGGTTGCCGCAACTCCTGTGCCAATTGGGGGGTTAGGCTTATTCGTGGTGCCCTCGGCAGACAATATCTCGTTAGAGTCAAGAAAGGGATTTGTCGAGACGGGTCTGATGGAGTTGTTCTCGGAGACAAGGTTACGGAAGGGATTCTTAGAGGCGAGAGAAGTTGGACCGCGGTCTGTGGAACAGGAATCAGTCATGTCGCCGCTTTCAATCACGACTTGTATGAAACAGAGTTGGTGCGGTAATCAGGTAGGTGACAATTAATAGCGCCATTAAGAGACAAAGGGGACGAATAAAGCACCATGAGGGATGGCGCGTGATCTCGACATACCGGCCAGAGATGCAGCTTGAGCCATTGGTTGTCTCGATTTGGTCCTTGTCCGGATCGAAACGCCAAATAAGGTGGTCAGACACCGACTGCGCAGTTGGGCATATGGGTGCTGTCGGTGGCTGAAGTGACGACGGTGGACTGGCTGAGAACGAACAAGTACAGTCAAAGATAGTGAATATTCTGGCGTCGAGAAAGGTGATGGATTGGAAAGACAGCCAAAGTGGCCAGGTTGGTGGGCGTCCGGGCGACTCTTCACCGTCTCAGGAGAGACAATTCCTGATTTGAATGCAGGGTCAGAGTACCGTGCGCCGGGTAGCCAAGGCGACGCACAAAGGGTTAAAGCTGCTGTGATCGAGACGATACTGAAAGTAGGAGATGTTTGCTGTGACTGTGTGTAAACCAGGCGATGCGAAGAGACTAGGATGGCAACGGTGGGTTAGTTGTAGGAAATCAAAGCTGCGTGTTTTGTCAGGAAAGAATATCGAGGAAGGGCCTGCGGAGGTGGTTTAGTTAGGGTCCGAACCCGGCAGGGATCCAGAAGGAGGGGTGGTGAGTTTGGTAGGGGGTCCTCCGTGGGCTCGGGGCGCAGCCAGTTAGCTAAAGGTGCCGCTAAATCAGCCCAAATATCCACTCGCCATGCTGGCACTGGGCCTTCGAGCCTCAGAAAAGTTGGGGGAGGCGGCTTGACGGTTGACCAAGAGAGGAGCGACCTGACGCCACAGCCACGCTACAAATGAAACGGACAAGCACAAGTTCAGCATCATCCAAGTGTTAGTACTGAGTAGTATGGAGTAGTGAACAAGATCTGTTGAGAGCGCTCGTATCCTTGGTGATGGACAGCCAACAGCAGCCTTGTCCTGTTGTTTCTTTGGTCACCCAACTGGGCCATGATCTTTACCTTCACTAGCAATTTTGAATTCTCAAGATCTTCACCCAGCCCCATTGCTTGTCAACAATGATCGCCCACTCCCTATTTGCCCACGTCAAAATTCAGTTCACTCCTGATCTACTCTTTGGAAAGTCTTGCGCCACTGCTTACTGGATGACCTTGGAAGGCTCATTCGACCAGTCCCCCAACCTCATCCTTCTTTGAAGCTCCCTTGATCAGCCCGTCATCTCGAGATAAGCCATTGAACAACCTAGCCTTGTGGTTCCCTTACCCACCCGAAGACCCTCGTCTCGACCTCAAACACCTCGTCATTTCAAGCACAGTGGACGCAGCACAGATCACGCGTTTCTGGGTCCCGACCTGCACCCCAGTGACCCCTGTCCAAAACTCAAATCTGACACGTATTCCTGCTTGAGCACTGCCGCGACACAATTTCACGTCGGTCCACCACCAACCGAGCACAATATGCACATGCCCTACACTTTGTACAAGTACAGGGACATTACGTCGTCGCAAAGGAAGACCAAGAGCCACTACTACTCGTAACCCCGAAGAACTCCAAGGACTGTGTAGGTTTGAGATTTCGCGCCTTCTGGCTTGTCTCTCTCTCCCTTCCCCTTCCGCCTTGGCGCGTACGCTGAGCAGACCGAGCTACTGCTCGAGCAGGTCACACACGCAAGCGGCCCACTTTCAGACCCGGTCTGTTTCAACTTTCACATCGGCACTCGTCGTAATTCCGAGGCACACACTGAAGATCCAAGCGAGGGGGCTATCGATAGGAGAATTATCAAGACAACGCTCGCTGCCCAATTTCACAGGGTCTGCTGCTTACAAGCCAAGGGTGCTTCTTTGGTTCTATTGCGCGGCGGTTTATCGTCGAAAAGGGGAATTCTACTTGGTAGCACCATGGACGCAGGAATTCCTCCAGCTGCACTGTCCCACCGGTTCACTCTCGAACTCGAATTCGTGCTATGCCTGTCAAATCCTCTTTATCTCCAATATCTGGCCTTGAATTTTCCTCATCTATTAAACAAGCCAGCAACGTCACAGAATGCCTCTGAGGGCCATGATTCAGATGCAGCTCGGTTCGCGAGGTACCTCAAGTATCTTTACAACTACTGGCGCACTCCGGAATATGCCAAATATCTCACTCATCCTGGAGCCACTCTACGAAATCTCGAGTTACTCCAGCAAGAGCAGTTTCGAAAGGACATCATACGCCCGGATGTCATCGCAAAACTCTTCGAGACAGATGGTACACCTCAGGCCAACACCGACGTGACCAATGGAAGGGAGTCGTCCACACAGCAAGTCTCTACATAGAGACGTTGGACACTAGCATCAGCTTAGCTGCCAAGCTAATGACTGCCCTGAAAGCTCTCGATGCATAGAGAATGTTCTTGGTGATACGGCAAAAATAGCCTTGTCACGACTCAAGAGAGCACTCCGCAGTGGAAGCGAAAACCTCAGTCATTCATCATGCACTATCTACCACAGTCTGAAACATGCACCATAGCACGGACCAGCACTCTTCAAGCCGGACAGGAAGTTGAGTTGATGCCACCACTGTCCAAAACAGGCAATTGCAAACATTCATACTTCAGCCAGTATGCGGTTTGTGATAATGTGCCAGCTCGTCACCTCGCCGTGACCAGGGAAATGCTTAGCACAATTTTGAAGAGGTGGACGGGACCAGGATGTGAATCGCAACCAAGGCAATGAACAGACCCACTGCTCGCCCTTCTCTCGCTGGTTTGCTCGTCATTGTGCCGAATCTACCGTTGCACATCTGCGAGCGCCAACATGACAGGCTCTGGAAGAGTCAAAGTTATCGCAACGAGCCCGTCTTGATGTTCTATCCTCAGCAGATCGTCACTACCACCACCACCATCCCGTGGTCTTGAAGGATTTGCTAGGAAGTTTGTCAATAGCACTTGCAGTCGACTATAGGCGTAGTATTTGCTACGGAAACAGTCAGGCAATTTTTAGATGGGAGCAATGAAATATTACCGAGTACTTCAGATGGATATGTGGTTTACCGCTTCTGAGACGCAATTCGGTTACCTCGAAATAGGGTCAAGCCAAGATGGGGGTGGCATGCAAGGAACGAGGTGGAATATGCAGGTACGAATATAATAGAGGTGTTTGCATCATAGACGGATACACCCGATGTTTGGGACGCCTAGAGGTGGTGCGTCGTTCAGAAACCTGTCATCAGCCGTCAAGGAAGCTCATAAGCTCGTATTGAGTGAGCAGAACACCGATGAGAGAGTGCACTGATCGGATGGGGATAGAGCCGCGGTACGTCCACTTACGCCACACCCAGACGATTCGGGAGTCTGGGGTAGGCCCAGCCTCCTCGACACACAATCATCCCCCTCCATTTCAATCCTCCAATACCAGCACGAGACCCTCTACCTTTGTATTTCTGCGACATTTTCGTTCAGCACCACAGTCCACCTCTAAACTCAGAGCCCAGCTTCCATATTCTTCACAAAGCCTTCGACCAATCCTTCATCGCGCGCTTTACGGTACTGCCTCACTTTCCCCTCAATTCCGATCCTGTTAGACAAACCGATAACACAATCTCTTGTCGTCTCAAGACTATATCGATTCGTTGTCGAAGCGCTTCTAAGACGAGTGCGCTTGCGACATCGCTAAATTCTCTGTGAGGCAAGCAGATATCGAGAGCCAGTTTTCCGTGCTGGTATATCAAATTTTCCGGTTGAAACGACGCAGAGCAAGAGGAAACGCAAGAGCAGGAACATCCGTCGAGGAAGAAGAACGAGTGTTGGAAAAGGCGCGGGGTCTACTCTGAACTTTTCAGCGATTCCTTTTCTGGCCAGAAGCTGAAGGCGACATGGTCTCCACGAGGCACCATCCGAGACCCTTCCCCGAGCCAGCAACTCCCAGCTCGACAACCCGTTCCAATGCCACGGACTCGCCGTCCAAATCTTCCTCGCCTCCACATTCCGATGACTCAGTAGTCGTCGCGTCTTCTGCTTCTCGAAAGCGCCGATCGAATCGATCCTCTCATACAAAGTCGTCAACGTCCCTGACCCCCGCTTACTCGCATAGAGCGCCACCCCTGCTGTTGATCTGGCTGTTCGTTTCCCTTCCCCTCGTGGTATGGGATACGGGCTATATCGCACTTCGTCCACACTCGATGCCGGGAGGGAAGTTCCACACCCCCATCTGGTCATTGTACGCTCTGTACGGTACGGTGGACTATGTGTATGGCTGGCCGGCCTGGGACGGACATGTAGGCTTCACAGCAGCACAGGCTTCACTGAATGTCATTGAGACAGTCATGTACATCTACTACCTGAGCACAGTATTGGGCAACGGTACAGGAGGTCTCCTGAACTGTCGTTCTCTGCAGGGATTCTTCCTGGGTGAACGAGACAAATTCATCAGTGGGCCTGGCGTGGCCACAGCTGTCGTCGTCCTCTTCTCCGCTGCTGTGATGACCCTAAGCAAAACCATCTTGTACTGTACGTCAAACCTATCAACTCTTTTCTTACCCCGTGTACTTTGAGAAGTCCTGATCCTTGAAGATGCCGATGCTGACGACGGGACGAAACAGGGCTCAACGAATACTTCTCGAATTTTGCCAATATTGGCCACAATTCTCTGTATAACCTCGTCTTCCTATGGGTTATCCCCAACGGACTCTGGCTGATTTTTCCGGCGTACATGATATACTTGCTCGGAAAAGAGATGGTGGCAGGAATGGAGGGCACTCAAGCAGAAAAGGAGGAGTGATGATGGCTAGAGCAAAGGCGATAAATAGAGGTAGGCAGTGTTTGATGATCGAACCGATTTCCGAACACCGCCACTGCTTTCCTCGGTCAGTCCTCTCGATTGCCGAAGCCACGAGGTGTCTAAAAGTTGTGCCGAGTATAGTAGATGCTGCTGCTGCTGCAAACGCTGTTGCGAACGCTATTGCAGTGTTTGCATTTACAGAAGTTCCAGAAAAGCCAAGATCGCTGCGGAATGCCGGAATTGGGCATTGATTGCTCTTTGCCCAATGGACGCCGTTTTAGCGGTCATCTTGGGGATCCATCAACCACCGAAGAGCCTTTTTTGTGCAACATGCTTGGGTTACAATTATCAGAGAAGCGGCTTCTTGTCGGAGACTACGAACGACAAATGCTGGTAACCCTCTCGGGTCAGATGGGAGCCAGGGAGCCCGGAGTCTCGGGGTGCACGACATTAGTTGAACCGAGAGTTGGGCTGTTTGAAGAAAGACAACCGCACGGAAGCACGGTGTGTTGTGATCACTAGTAATGCCCAGGTACAAAGAAAGGTGCATGTCAATGTCAGTAAGAACGGTGTTGTTCTATGTGGCCGATCACTGTGGATATTGAAGGGTCTCTGGGTGTCTCGGTGAGTGCCAAATTTCGCAGCTCGCTTTGGCGAATCCTAGCAAGTGGACGGAAGGTTAGGGCCGAAGGAGTATTGAGTTGTCAGGGTACAAACAAAAAGCATATAATGTGCTTGAATATAGGGTTACAATTGGCACAGACTCGGCACGGAGAAAGGAGTAACTATGTGATGCGTATGTCCGGATGGAATCACTTCCCCAGAAAGGCAACAAATGGGATAAACATCGGCCCTTGAGCGGATCCAGCGAGAAGACTATGGATGCATCAATTGCGGGGAGGTCCATTGAAGTCAACAGCCTGAATGGGTGAGACTCAACTCAAGAGGGGACGATCTGCAACCCGGCCATGTCCATATGATTCCATGAAATTTTCAGTTGAGATTGACCAGCACCCAGCAAGCGACGGCGAGGTTGCGGAGTAACCAAAGCTAGCCACATTGAAGTATAGGCTGCCCACGGCTGCCCTTCCTACCCTGTCAGCCTGTCTCCCACCGACAATTTGCGGGGTACAGCATCATTGACATGACTTGTCGAGATGCAGTGATCCTACCGACCCAGCGACCTCAACCACTCTCCTTCATGGCCTTCGTTACGTCGCCCTGACCGTGACATGGGGAATGCAACATTGCCTTCTTCCACATGCCTCTTCAGGCACCGGCAATGCAGCCCTCAAAGTCACACTATCGATCGCCTTCCTGGATCGACGCTCATTATTGTCCGCATAGTGCATCACAAGGCCTTCTCCCCACCCACTACTCGACAAGGCCATGGCATGGACTGGCATACATGGAGCATAGACCATGTTCATGCCTTTGCTCCTGCCGCATTCATTGAGCTCCCTGCGCCAGCTCCGCCAGCTCCTCGTCTCCTCAGCTCCCCAGCTTACCCATCTTGCTTGCCAGTGCCTCCACCACCAACCCCCTCCCCTTCTTTCGGAGCGACGTGCCCTGTCTGCGCAAGAGAATGGAACAAAGGGAAAAATCATACTCTCAATGACATCTACACTGACATGGCCCATACCATCTAGAGCCCGGGCGCTCAATTGTTCAAATACCCCCGAGTTTCTTCGACCGTCCACTCTTTATTCACTCTTTCTTTCCGTCACCCGCAACTTGTATTCCTTCCTGCGGTGTGCCTCCCTGCCCGAGTCATCCCAACCCACCCCCCCTCTGGTGTATCGACCTACAGCCGTGAGGTCTGTCGATTATTTTTGTACCGACCACCTGGGTTGAGCCCTAACAATAATACCTACGGGATTCTTACTGGTTGACGTCAACACCAAGTACCGAGAATCAGCCTAATAAGCCCCCGGCGCCCTTGCAAAATGTGGCTCACGGATGCGGTTGTGGCGGCTTTGGCAGCATTGCCTTATCTTCCCCAGATCCAGGCCGGCGTAAGTGCAAGGTCCATTCCGCCCCTTTGTGCCCCCCATTAATCCCAGCGATCCGCGAGCGAATGGATTCTATGCCCCCTACCCATATTGTCAGATCTTAAAAGGTCCCTGATATCTCAGGGCTTGTCAAACGAAAAAAAAAACCCCCCCAGAGTCCCAAGTTTATGCCAGGATGCTCCAACTCTTTTCTGCTCTCCTTTTTGTTAATGCTTCGGTACAATTGTCCGACTACTCACAAGCTGTCATAAAGCCTGTCGAGGCTGCAGATGCCATCTTCAAGCGTCAAGCTGCCCAGCCATTTAATAATGACTATACTGGCCCCATTTGGACATCGGACCCGAAGTACCCGTCCCCATGGGGTGCTGGTACTGGAGACTGGGCTGCAGCATACGAGAAAGCCCGTGCCTTTGTTAGTGGCTTGACTTTATTGGAGAAGGTCAACCTCACTACAGGTGTCGGGTAGGTACCCTCACACATTGTTGCACACACTAATAAATCTGACTTTTGGCGAAGCTGGGAATCTGATCGATGTGTCGGAAATACTGGCTCTATCCCTCGTCTCGACTTTGAAGGCCTCTGTTTACAAGACGGCCCACTTGGTATTCGCTTTGGTTAGCATTCAAACTTCCCACAATCCTCAATGAACAGGAGAATTGACAACAGAACAGCCGATTATGTCTCTGCCTTCCCGGCCGGTCTGAATGTGGCTGCTACATGGAGCCGTGATCTTGCGAGGGCTCGGGGAGAAGCCATGGGAGCTGAGAATAAGGGCAAAGGTGTTGATGTCCAGCTCGGTCCCGTGTGTGGACCCCTCGGCCGCAATCCTGAAGGTGGTCGAAACTGGGTAAGAAGGCCTTATAGAAAATCGAAGTACTCGGCGTGTTGACCAGAAATAGGAAGGATTCAGTCCCGATCCTTATCTCACTGGCGCCTTGATCGGTCCTACCATCCAAGGTATCCAAAGCCAAGGCGTCATGGCGTGCACGAAGCATTACATTGGGAATGAACAAGAACACTTCCGCCAGGTCGGGGAATCCATCGGCTACGGTTACAACATCACGGCCACGCTCAGCTCAAATATTGACGACAAGACCATCCATGAGCTTTACCTCTGGCCTTTTGCTGATGCCGTTCGGGCCGGTACAGCGTCAGGTAGGTAATTGGAAGAGTCGCAACAGGGGGTGGAGGCTAACGTTGTCCAAGTCATGTGCTCTTACCAGCAAGTGAACAACTCCTACGGCTGTGCCAACTCTTACACAATGAACCACCTTCTCAAGGGTGAACTCGGATTCCAGGGTTTCGTCATGTCAGATTGGCAGGCTCAACATTCCGGGGTTGGCACCGCCTTGGCTGGACTCGATATGACCATGCCTGGTGACACACTATTCAATACCGGGTATACCTACTGGGGCACTAACCTCACTATTGCCGTGATCAATGGTACTATTCCTGAATGGCGACTGGACGATATGGCCACGAGAATCATGGCAGGCTACTACTACGTCGGTCGCGATGCTGCCAGAGTTCCGGCCAACTTCTATGCCTGGGGCCAGGACACTTACGGACACGCTTCCGCTGCTGATCTCAATTCCCCCCTGATCATCGTCAACGAACATGTGAATGTCCAAGACGAGCATCGCAATATCATCAGACAAATTGGCCAGGCGTCGAATGTCCTTTTGAAGAACAATGGCGGCCTTCCCCTTACAGGTCAGGAAAAACAAGTGGCCGTGATTGGTTACGATGCTTGTGGCAACCCGTGGGGTCCCAATGGCTGTCCAAACCGTCAATGCAACAATGGAACCCTAGCCATGGCGTATGGGAGTGGCACCTGCGAATTTCCGTATCTGGTGACGCCAGAACAAGCGATCCAGCAATATGTTCTTACCCAGACCGACTCGGAGGTCTTCACCATTTGCGACAACTATGCAGACTCTCAGATCCAGAGTCTTGCCAGCCAAGCTGATGTTGCCATTGTTTTTGCAAACGCCGATTCTGGGGAAGGATTCATAACGATCGACGGCAACACTGGCGACCGCAATAATCTGTCTCTTTGGGAAGGAGCGGACCGCTTGATCAACAATGTGACCAAGTATAACAACAATACCATTGTGGTCATGCACACCGTGGGCGCTGTCAATGTTTCTGCATGGTATGACAACGAGAACGTCACTGCCATCCTATGGGCGGGTCTACCTGGTCAAGAGAGCGGCAATGCCCTCGTCGATGTCCTTTACGGTCTCGTCAACCCCGGTGGAAAACTACCATTTACCATTGCCCGCAACCGGGATGACTACGGCACAGATGTTCTATATGAGCCTAATAATGGGCAATTCGATGCTCCTCAAGTTCTCTTCTCGGAGGGAGTGTTCATTGATTACCGACATCTCGATGCAGCTGGGATCGAGCCAATCTATGAATTCGGATTCGGCCTCAGTTACACAACCTTTGAATATTCCAATCTGGTGATTACTCCAGGAAATCCAGCACCATATACCCCCGCCAGTGGATTGACAGGGCCAGCTCCAGTCTTGGGTAACTCGTCCACGGACCCATCACTATACCTCTTCCCCAATGCCAGCATCCCTTATCGTTACTTTGAATTCATCTACCCATACCTCAACACCACCGACCTTGAGGCTGCGTCTGCTGATCCTGATTACGGCCTGCCGACGGATCAGTATGTTCCGGCTGGTGCCACGGACGGCTCACCGCAGCCCATCCAGCCTGCTGGAGGTGGTCTCGGGGGCAACCCTCTTCTCTACGAAGTTGTCGCAACGGTGACGGCAACTATCACCAACACAGGAAGCGTCGCTGGAGATGAAGTTGTGCAGTTGTACGTGTCACTTGGGGAGGGAGAGCCGCCGAAGGTTCTTCGTGGCTTTGACCGCCTGACCATAGCACCTGGTCAATCAGCGACATTTACCGCTGACCTCACTCGCAAAGATGTGTCGGTTTGGGATACCACCGTTCAGAACTGGGTAGAGGTCAGCAATCCGACCATTTACGTTGGCGCTTCGAGCCGAAATCTCCCACTATCAGGAAACCTGTCCAGCGGTGCTTCACCTGGTGGTCCAAGTGGACCAAACTACAGTTCGCCCACAGTTGCCCCGTCTTCTTCCTATGGTGCTCCGACATATTCGTGGAGCTCAGGGTACGGACATCCCACTGGACCGCCGGTGTCTCAGATTTCAGACGGACAGCCTCAATGGGGAGCTCCAGTTACGCAAATCTGGGATGGCCAACCTCAAGCGACGACGGCATGACTGGACGAGGGAAATCTATGGCGAGTTAATGTGATGGATAACCAGGTATGACTTTGTTCGGTTACTGATGTGGCTCTTGGACGTTATGGCTTCGCGCCAACAACCACAGACAGATAGGGCCTGAAGCAGAGTGTCTGGGCTGTGAGCAGTCGATCGTGCCTGGGAAGTAGAGCAGACTGATGAAGATAAAAGCAATTATTGCGCGTAGACGAATTTATTACACGATGAACATTTTCACGAACAAGAGAGCGAGGGAGTCGGGTCCAGCTGTACTTGGTTTAGGGCGACCGATATCAATTGATCGTAGCTCACACGTCCATATTTGGAGAGTGCCTTAGTTCAGCATTGGAGAAGTCACTTTTCTCAGATATGTACCTCACACTTGTACTTGTAGTCAGCACTCGGTCCTCAGTACTCAGTACTCAGTACTCAGTGTGTACCTGTCGAGTCGTGTCGTGTCATGTACGTACGTGGTGGGACCATGCCGCATGGCATGCACAGATCGGCTGTGGGTCGCACCACAAGCATCGAGTCATGGCGTCATGGATTTCTATACCTCAACCAGTGAATGAATGAATGAGTGTAGGGTGACCGATCTTTTCAATATGAACGTGCGTGTGAGAGAGAGTGTGAGTGAGAGAGAGAGAACTAGGCTTCGGGCGTGGGTATGTGTGCGTATGTGTGTGTGTGTGGTAGCACATGGCTATTGAATGAGCGTGTACCCCCGTCCCGTCTACTTGCGGGTCAAAGTCACCTACCTACCTCCCTACCTACCTACGAGGTACATAGGTACATAGGTATTGAAGAACTGGCTCACTGGCACACTGGCACACTAGCACACTGGGTATCTAGCGAGCTAGGTATGTATGTATGGTGGTATATCCAGAGATATATCCTGGGAGGTACTTATTAGTTTTAACTTATTGGGGGTTACTAGGACACCCCCTCTTGAGATCGGTACGATAACGATACAGTTCTTTGTTCGGCATTGACGTGCGTGGTCCTCGGGAGGTTGGGAGGTAAGGGCAAATTGGTCAAGGACGCACGGGCAGTCGAGGGGGAAAAAAAAAGGGCGGGGGGTTCAGCCTCGTCTCGTCTTTGCAGGTCCTTTGACAATCATCACCAGCTACGGACACGCCGACACCTACGTCATTGAAACCATCATCGTGATCATCATCATCCTCATCCCCGACCTGAGACCAAGAACGGTCAAGTCAACAGGCGCACAAACACGTATACACACACCCACACACACACACACACTCTCTCTCTCCTTGCCTATCTCAGTACATCTCGCGGGCAAGCCTCCTCCACAACCATGCCCGCAAGATTCAAAAAGACGGGCGGCGCACAGAACCCCCCAGGTCCGCGCGTCCTGTACTGGTTCCGCACGGACCTGCGCCTCCACGACTCGCCGGGCCTGACGCACGCCTTGTCTCTGAACCCCTCCGCCGTGATCCCGCTGTGGATGTGGGACCCGCACTACGTGTACCGGCAGCGCGGGGCGGCGAACCGGTGGCACTTCCTCGTCGAGAGCATGCGGGACCTCTCGCAGAGCCTGACGGCGCTGAACGCGCGGCAGAAGCTGTTCGTGGTGCGCGCGGCCGCCGGACCCGCGAGGACGTTGGCCGCGCTCATGCGCAAGTGGAAGATCGACGTGCTCGTCTTTGAAAAGGACACCGACGCGTACGCCACCCGCAGGGATCGCGACGTCGTCAAGGTCGCCGAGGACATGGGCGTGCGGGTCGTCAGCCCGAGTGGGCGCACGCTGTTCGACTCCGAGGAGGTCGTCAGGATGAACGCCGGGAAGCCCACCATGAGTATGGCCCAGCTGGTCAAGGCCGCGGAGAAAATCGGCGACGGAATGCCCGCGAAGCCGTTGGACAAGCCGACCAGCTTGCCGGATCCTCTCGATGAGGAGGAGATGGATCTGTCGGATCTCGAACAGGAATTGTCTGGTGACGGAGAAGGACCCCGAAAAGCACCGCCCAGCTGGCCTGGTGTCGACGGGATGGACTACAACGCCGTTCAGAGAACGCTGGGCCTCGACAAAGACACGCAGTACTCTTCTGGGGTCATGGGGCCGGACCGCGACTTCTCGGTCCCGACTCTAGAGGAGATGGGAATCGACCGGTCGTCAGTGACGACGCCCCACAAAGGAGGCGAGACCGCCGGACTGGCGCTCCTCGAACGCCACGTCGCAGATGAAGAGTACATCTCGACGTTTGAGAAACCGGCGACCGCCCCGACGGCGTTCGAGCCCGCGGCCACGACGTTGCTGAGTCCGCACATGCATTTCGGGACCGTCTCCTGCCGCCGGTTCTGGTGGGACGTGCAGGCCGTGCTGGAGAAGAGGCGCAAGGAAAAGAAACGCGTCAGCGACCAGCCCGTCAATATCCCAGGTCAGCTGCTCTTCCGCGACATGTATTTCGCCGCGCACGCGCAGGTCGGGGCCGTCTTTGGCCAGACGGTCGGCAATCCCGTCGCGAGGTTCATCCCGTGGCACCTGCAGTCGAGGTACTCGACCGACGGGGACGGTAGGCCGGTCAGCGACGGCACGTACGTGGTCGACGACGCGCAGGCCGAAGAGTACTTCCAGCGGTGGAAGCACGGGCGCACGGGGTTCCCCTGGATCGACGCCCTGATGCGCCAGTTGAAGCAGGAGGGCTGGATCCACCACCTCGGCCGCCACGCCGTGGCCTGTTTTCTCACTCGCGGCGGCTGCTACGTCTCGTGGGAGCGCGGCGCCGAGGTCTTTGAGGAGTGGCTCGTCGACCACGAGGTCGCGTGCAACGCCGGCAACTGGATGTGGCTGTCCTGCACGGCCTTCTTCAGCCAGTTCTACCGCTGCTACTCCCCCGTCAGTTTTCCCAAGAAGTGGGACCCCGACGGCCACTTTGTGAGAAGGTACGTCCCCGAGCTGGCCCGCTTCGACAAGAAGTACATCTACGAGCCGCACAGGGCGCCGATCGCGGACCAGAAAGCGTGGGGGTGTCTGATCAAGGGTGACGGTGGAGATGGGAAACCGCCAAAACAAGGAGGGGAGTACAAGGTGTATCCCAAGCCGATGTTCGACTTTCAGGAGAGGAGACGGTTCTGTCTTGATCGCATGAAGGAGGCTTATGATGTAGGACTGTTTGGCGATGATGAGAGGGTTATTAGCGGGAAATGGAAAGAGTTGTTCGATTTCAACGATGCTGGGGCTCCGGCAAAGGAGGAGGCGAACGGTGATGTGCCAATGGCCGAAAAGCGGGCGAGAGACGACGAAGACGACGATGGTCATGATGGTGCGGAGGATGACGGGCATCAGGACGTTGATGGAAGAGACGACGCTGGTGTCAGTGACGAGAGTCATGGTCGTCGCCGTGGGAGAAGGAAAGCTATAAAGCGAGGTGACCCCGACAATGGCACCCAGCAGCGAACCTTGGACAAGATGGTAACCCGGAAGAGGAGGTAGCTCGGATGATCTGATACTGGGTGCATCTGGAGAAATGTTACATGGCTAGTTTCCCATGGGTCGTGGTTCAACGATGACGATCACGAGGATCGTGCACGGACAAAACAAGCAGAGTGAAACTTCAGATGTCAGCGTGGAATAGTGCTCATGGACATACCTCTGATCGGCTATCTGCCTGGATTTTCAGCAGGGGCAGGCTCTTTGAAGAGGTGGCCAATATAGCATCATTTCAGCCGTTCTGGTCCCGGGAAGTGAGCCAGAGGAGCCTATGAGCAGTATGCTCTCATAACTTTCGACGATCGCAGTACCCTGGTACATATTAAGGTTACCCAGGATCTCGAAAAGAACTTCAGGCCCCTTTGTACCGAGATCGTGTCAAAGTTTATCAGGACCACCGAGCACCTAGCAACTTGTGCGATGGCAGCCCATGATATAAAGAGTGTGGCATTGGTTGGGAAGAAGGATCGAAACCACCCTTCTCTCGCGGTAGACATCGTGTGTAGCATTTCCGGATCTCTAGACGAGGTCGATCGTGCATTCCAGTCATCTTGGGCGGTATCAAGAGTCATGGGATGACTTCCGCACCCTGCAATATGTGAGGAAGTCGTCTGACTCGCTGGACATGTACCCTGCAGAGCGCGCCATTTCTCGCTGCATTCAGTATGATCGTCAATCTCTCCTGTCGCCATACCTGTCCAGATAAGGAGAATGGCGGCATGATGTAGTTCATATCGTGGCTGGTAGAGTACAGCACATCCAGAATATACCAGCAGATGATCAGGACATGGGCCTTCACAGTGTTGTGCAGGGGAGATGTAAACAAATGCAGTAGAAATCGTGTGTGCTGAACTTTGAGATGTGGCAGCCGGCATGATCCATAGTAGCAGGTATCTGGAAGAGGGTTGTTCCTCATCTTTTCTTTCTAGCGCCCAATCATGTCGCCGTTAGATCGATGTGTTCCTCGCGCCGTAGCCTGGGGCCGACGCAAGCTTGAATAGAATTGCACTGCTCGAGGATTGACCACAGACGGTTCAATAACCGGACATCACCGGAAGACAATATAAAGGTTGCTGGGCCACCGCTAATCGATTTGATACTCGAGGGTGAAGAAGTCCATACTGATGCAGAAACAATGAAACGATGTATATCTCGGACGTCGTCCCAGATTCGCAAACTATCCCCAACCGAGAATATCGCCCGAGCTACATACCAAAAAGGCAAAGACAGCCGGTGTGGTTTGTATTGTTATCATCAATAAAGCCGAAAATGGAGATGTCCGTGCGGAGACGCCTCCACGGCAAGGATTGAATAGCCATAGGAAATCTTCTTGTGATCGGTATCGAGGGGCAAACCTTCTTCCTGGATTTGTTGTGCAAACTGATTAGCATTCCTATCCCTAAGAAACAAGGAAAACCAATCGACTCAAGACCGACTGCATCAGCCATGCCAGCGCTCTCGGAAGACCTGGTTGCCGCCATCAAGAAGTCTGTCTCCGACGGCTTCGATGAACAACTGGCTTACACGCAGAAACTGATTCGCTTCGGAGGACAGCGTGGGGAGGAGACCGAGGTCCAGAGCTTTGTCTTTGAGCAGTTCGCGAACCGGGGCTATGACCCGGTCAAAATTGACATGGATGAGCAAGCGCTCTCAAAGCATGTCGGCGCCGGCAGGTTCAGTGCGACGCATTCGCGTGCCCCAGTGGTCGTCGGCACGCACAAGCCAAAAGAGCAACACGCCGAGGGAAAGAGTCTCATTTTGAACGGGCATATTGACGTCGTGCCTCTGGGTCCTGTTGATATGTGGAAAGACGATCCGTACAGTGCCCGTATCGAAGGAGATAAGCTCTACGGCAGAGGGTCGGGTGACATGAGGAGTGGTCACGCCGCGAATCTGTGGGCTTTGGATGCATTGAAGCGTATTGGCTTCCAGCCAGCGTCAGAGGTCATTCTGCAGTCTGTTGTCGAGGAAGAGTCAACTGGCAATGGCACGCTGATGACACACTTGAAGGGGTACAAGGCAGACGCTGTCCTGATCCCCGAGCCAATGCAGGAACAGCTTGTTCGAGCAAACGTTGGTGTCCTGTGGTTTCAGATCGAAGTCCGCGGCAGGCCAGTACATGTCAGAGCTATGGGGACCGGAGTCAACGCTGTCGACGCGTGTTGGAAAGTAGTAGGCGCCCTGAGAGAACTTGAGGCTGAGTGGAACAACCGCCATGTCAGCACACGATATTTTGAAAACGAACAACACCCCTTAAGTGAGTTGCCCATGCAGCGTTGCGTGGCATGGCAAACGCACTGTTGCCAGAAGAAGCTAACAATGAACAGACTTGAACGTGGCAATTGTGAATGCCGGCGACTGGGCAAGCTCTGTCCCAGCCTGGTGCCGTATAGATTGTCGAATAGCAATCGTGCCTGGTGTCACAGCCAAGTCTGCTGCTGAGGAGATTGAGAAGAAGGTGGCAGAGTTCTCACGGAACGATCCCTATCTCAGTGAAAACCCCCCGAAAGTGATATGGAACGGATTCTACTCGGAAGGATATGTCCTTGAGCCAGGGAGCGAGGCAGAGAATGTGCTGCGCCAGGCCCACAAACAAGCAACGGGCCAGGAATTGACAGAACAGACCTCTACCGCCTACCTTGACGCGCGTGTCCACAGCCTGTATGACAAAATCCCTGCGTTAGTGTATGGCCCCATCAGTGGGGATATCCATGGCTTTGATGAATGGGTCAGCATCGAGAGTGTAAAGAGAGTGACCACTGCAATGGCACTGTTCATCGCGGAATGGTGTGGGCTAGAGAAGATATAGTTGCTACAAGAAGAATGCAGTCTGCATCTAGTCGACGCCTTTGGCAGTGCTCGAACTGTTTTGACGTTTTGCCAGACTTCCAGATTGCCCTTGAATGTTCATTTGTGCCTGACAGGTTTGCGTTCAAATGTGAGGCACTTGGCTGGTCTAAGACCGATGAGACCAATGACTGTTTACATCCCTTCGAGGAGGGAGCATCTGCGCCATTTGGGGAATTTTCATGGTATGAAGTAGTATGGAACAAGACACGCAAGGCTCTCCTTTTCCCATGTCTTCCTTCAGGGACGATGAAACCGGAAAAATTTGCCAAGACTTTCGCATTGCTTGGCACATTTGGTTCCATCATGAGGCAGCTGTCAGTCACCACGAGGCAACATTCTTCCTCAAGAATCTCTGACAGCCTCTTCTGTTTTTCTCGGTTCTACCTCCTGTTCCGCTAAACTTCTCATCATGGCGTCATTGAGGGCGCGCGTGGAAGAAGTCCTACGTGGCGATGCTGTCAAAAATGCCCTGCTAGAAGTATGTCACCAAGAAAACGGATTTTAGCCGCCACTGACTCGAGAGCAGCAGATGTTGGCAGATATCGAACAACTGACACAGCAACGTGATGCCGCCAGAAATGAGCTCGACATGGCCAGAGATACTGCTCGCACATACTATCAAAAGATGGTTCAAGCTGAATCGGAGAAATCACTCATAAAGACATCCATGGTGGGGAAGAGCCGCCGGTATCCCTGTGTTTCGAGCAGATCTGACCTTTGTCTACCCACAGGAGGAGTGCGACAGATTTGTGCTCGTTCTCGTTGATGGCGACAGTATGCCGGTAAGGCTGAGTGAAAGAGATGCTCCTGATTGTGACGGCATCAGCTGTTGTAACTAACTGGACCAGTTTCTTGATGACTTTGTGTCCAGAGGCATGGAAGGCGGTGAAGAAGCGGGCAAACACCTTCGAGCTGCAATCCTGGAATATTACAAGACAAATAGCAGATATCGCGCCGACGATCGGGTCATGATTCGGGTCTACGCCAACGCTCGTGGTCTAAGCCGGACTTACAAAGCAGCTAAAATCATTACTGAAGAGACAGTCTTCGATCAGTTCATGGTTGGATTCAACAGAAGCCACCCCCTTTCGGACTATATCGATGCTGGGAGCCACAAAGAGGCCGCTGACTCCAAAGTGAAAGGTACGTCAGACCCGTGGCTAATGTGATAGTAGATTGATTTGACTTTCCCCAAGCAAACCTCGAGCTCTTCTATCGCAACTTTCATTGTCAGCACATTGTCTTTGGTGGCTCAGCAGATAGCAGCTACGCTGGCTTTCTCGGGCCGTATGCACTTCCAAACACGCTCAATGATCGCATCACCCTACTTGAAGGCCCGCCATTCCCTTACGACCTTAAGAAAGTGGCCCAAGGGTTCCAGCAAACGTCCTTCAAGACCATTTTTCGATCAACCAAGATTCAGATAACACCAAATGGTACAATCTCTGTCACTGCGGGCGTCAAGAGACCTGCTCCTGATCCTCTGTCAGGAGTGCGAGAACGGCCATCACCACGCCCTACGGCAGCGGCTCTGACGCCTCCCAAACCTCAGCCCGCTCTAAATGCGCAACTAACCGCAGCGGCACCATCACTCGTTCCATCGCCAATCATCTACCAGAATCAATATGGGCAGCGACTCGATATACCACTCAAAATCGACAAACAATATCTCCAGTACCTCTACGACAACAATTCACGTCTCTGCAACAACTTCTACCTCAAAGGTCACTGTCATTACGGCACCAACTGCGAATGGGACCATTCGCAGATCCTCAACCAAGTGCAGCTCGATACGTTTCGGCACAAAGCTCGAACTTCGGCCTGTCGAAATGCGTTTTGTCAGGATCCTTCATGCCCGCTTGGTCATATGTGTCCGCGAAACGGAGCCTGCAACATTCCTGCGTGCAAGTTTCTTCCAGAGATGCACAACATCGACGTCAGCCAGATCTACGAGTTCAACACTGCCACCCAAGAAAGAAAGAGAGTGTCCACGGCCGTCTAGGAGGAAGCGCAACAACATGTGCCGAAGTCTCCCTCGGCTTAGGACAAATTCTCTGGCCCAGTGATCAATATTCTCTTACATGTTTTGGATTGAGAAGGAGACAGGGCGCCGTTTGCTTCATACGTAGCCGGCCTGCTCGAACTCCGGATTG